AGATGAAGCTCCCAAGGATTATGAAGGCGGCAGTAAGGAGACACTCTTGGAAGAACCTGCCATATGACAGAGCACTGCCCAGACTTTCCAGATTTTGTTTTAAATTTGCACTTATGTTCGTTTCAATAGAGGAGCATATGACATTATGCCTTGATGATGAGGTTTTACAAAAGACCCCCCTCCCTCTAATCTGTGGCCAATGCAGAACACGGCTTCTGTTTTAAAAGTCCCTGGATCCTCTGGAGTTTGCACAGAGCTGAAAACATTTCTCAGGCAAAGCACCCGTTCTTGGAAAGGGGAGATCTCAGTTTGGTTCCAGCTACTTTGCGCGTCAACCTATGCTTCTGTTTCTGGAGAATGGATGTTATCATGCTCTACACCAAGACTTCTGCAAAGACAACTAATAGCCATGAAATTCCTTCAAGTGCAAGAAAACATCCAAATGTGAAATGATCACCACTTACCAGGAAGCGGTGTTATAAATGCTGCCGGGTTTTGCTGAAGAAACTGCTTTTGTTTGGACAAGGATATCTTCAAGGGGCTGAATCCAAGCTTAGGTTCTTTAAGTCCCTGGAAAAATCTACAGTGTGTAGAACATACAGGTCCTGGGCCATCAACATAACAGATTTATGCAGAAGATCAAAGCTCAAGGTTCATTTATTTACCTGACCTTACATTACGCTCACACAGAAATGAGGCGCGTCCTGAATTCCTTCTCGGTAGCCCACAGAAACACGGCCCAGCTCCAGCTAAGCATGAAGACTAGAGTTCCTTTTCTCCAGGAAAGTTCTCTGCTCTGCCCCAGATGAAAAGGAACAGCAAAGGAAAACATTGCGGTCAGCCACCTGCCGGAGCTGACCTCTGGACAATGTTCCTGGCCGCCGTGTTATTTTAGGAGGGCAGGGGAGGGGCAAGTCTGCCGCAGGACTGACCGTAGTCCAGACATGGCTCCCCGAGGCCCGCGACGTTAAAGCCTAGTTCTTCCACCCCCTCTGGATGTCCAACTCCCAAAACTGACCTTCGTTAGAGAAATCAAGCACGATCACCTTATGCACTAGCCACAGGCAGTCAATGGACTAACCCTTTATGGATTTTACTGAAAAACCCCAACCAATAGTCACGCAAACTGTGTGGCTGGTCGTGACAATGGGAAGATACTCTCTTAGGTGAGATTTTAAACTTGCACGAACATGCTTTAGGGCACCCACCCAAGGAAGAAGGGTGTGTGTGTGTGTGTGTGTGTGTACGTTCAGGGTGCACACACAGTGATCACATGGGATATCAGGTCTTTATATAATGCCTCATTTTATCCTCACCAATCCTGAGGTAGGCATCACTCCCATAGTACAGGTATATGGGAAACGGAGGCTCAAAGAATTTAAGTACCTTGCTCAAGGTCAGAGACGGCAAGAGATTTCATGAAATCGCCTCCAATGGGGGCATCTCAATTTCAGTGCAAGGAATGCTGCACTCTGGACAAGCAGGGTACACGGAGGTTTAGAAGTGAGGCAGTATCTTCCGCTAACGTGTGCAGTCTACCAAAGCTGTGCAGCACGTTTAGAGGGAAAAAAAAGGTTTCAAGGTTAATTAAGTCAGGAAATGCTTGGGATAAACAGGCTTCTTTTCTGCAGGGTTTCTCAGTCTTTAATATGATAACATGGATTACAGATGGCCAAGAGAACACATAAGGAGTTTCGGGATGTTTTTGCTTTTGTTTTGAGATCTCTTCTATTTCTTGGCATATGCTTTGAAAAAGCTGGGGTAAAACTTCACGTCCCTGAAGTCAGACTCAGGAAGAACACATTTGATGGTCTTACCCCAGCTTCCCCCCGGGGTTTCATAGGTTTAAATCCCAACGTGAATCAACTTGGTCATTTGTGGCATTTTAGAGGACTCGGAGCATCATCAAACAAAAGCAGGACTGGAAAACGGGACGGAAGCGTGAGGCATGGCGATGGGAAGATAGAAATGGACACGTGGGAGGGTACGTGGGACTTAAGAACAAAAAAGGCCTCGAGGGGCGTCTGGATGGCTCAGTTGGTTACGTGTCTGACTTGACGTCAGCTCAGGTCACGATGTCACGGTTCGTGAGATGGATCCCCGCGTTGGGCTCTGTGCCGACAGCATGGAGCCTGCTTGGGATTTTCTCTCCTTCTCTCTGCCCCTCCCCCCTTCGTGTTCTCTCCTTCTCTCTCTAAAAATAAATAAACTTAAAAAAAAAAAAAGGCCTTAAGGGGGGCCTGGGTGGCTCAGTTGGTTAAGCACCTGACTTTGGCTCAGGTCATGATCTCACAGTTTGTGAGTTCGAGCCCCGCGTCGGGCTCTGTGCTCACAGCTCAGCCTGGAGCCTGCTTCGGATTCTGTGTCTCCCTCTCTCTCTGCCCCTCCCCTGCTCACACTCTGTCTTTGTCAAAAATAAAACATCAAAAAAAAAGGCCTTGATACGGTCTTCTCGTACAGTCTCAATCAATTCCTAAATTTCCCAGGGCCCGTCAAGCAGCCTGGCGTCACGGTCCCAGGCTACCATCGTTTGGTCCCCTCCAGACAGGCCCTCCTGCGTGAGCAGGAAAGGAACCGGAGGCTCTGGAGTCACGTTTTAGAGCCGGAAGGGGCCTCAGAGACCATGCTGTCCTAGTACCTGCAGGTCAGGCTGTCACTGAGCCTCGACTCAGTCCCCTTGCTTTTCAGCCCAGAGCTCTTCCCCACACACTGACGGGCTATAGAGCCTTACTTTATTTTGTAGTCAACAAAAACGTGCTAAGTGTTCTCAGTGCGTAAACAATGCACTTGGAAGACTGTCTCGGGAATCTGTCTGACCCAAAAGACGAGAACGTGACCCAAGTCTTCATTCACGAGGGACTCCTCAGCGCCGAGGGCTGAGGCAGGGAGTGCTCAACACATCTCTGCTGAATTAATGCAAAATGAGACATCTTAGTAGGTTATGACTATCACCAAGAAGATTTCTAGGCATGTTTGAAAGGTCATCTGACTAGGAAGTTCTCTGCGGTGCCACGGAGGGGCGGAGGGCAGGGGCCGTCGGGCGGCCGGGGCCTCCAGCTCTCCAGACAAAGAAGTGAACCCAGCAAGAAGAAGATGGGTTGTTTGGATTGTCATTTTTGGCTCATTTAATACCTTCTCTGCTTCCTTGCAGGTGAACAGATCATAGGAATCGGTACATGGGGTTTGACGGGAAATGAAAGATTTCCAACAGTTTTTAAATGGATGGATTTCAGGGCAAAGGCCATATTCCTTCCATGAGAAAGGTACTTAGCAGCTGACGCTGGGTCAGCCAACTGCTCACACCCCCCTGAAAAAACCATTCTCTATTCTCACTTTGCAAAAGCAGTGTAGCTAGTTTCTGAATAGGCCACATTCACCAATAAAAACGGATTCTCTGTCATTCTCGACCTCAAACAAAACATCTGAATAGTCATTTCTGAGCACGTGCCACCCAATATCTCTTATGTGACATTAAAAAAATGCACTCGAATACCAACAGATTCAACTTTATAGCACCATTCCAAAATACTAAACTTTCTTTGCACCTTTATTTTTATCTTTTTTTTTTTTTTTTTGTACACATTTAAAGTACGGGCATCCTGTAAGTTTCTGAAAAGCCTCATAGAAAAAAAAACCAACTAAGTTTTAGGACAAAGCAATAACTCAGTTTGTAGGCGGGATGATCTCAGGCAGGTTGTAAGTTCTTCATGGGCTTCTGCAGTCTTGATTCTGGGGTGAGAATGTAGAAAGGATGCTAACGTCTTCCTGGATTATTCTAGAGGTTACGTTGCATATCGGTATGTAAAAACTTGTTGCTCAATGGTCAGACTCTAGGTACTGATTACAACTCAAACCATGAAAACAACAGTCTTTTGTAATGATTTTACGCTTTCGGTTGACAAAAGAAATTGGGGTAGTGGATGGCTTCAGAGTCTCTGCACACCTTGTGTTCGTGCTCTGTAAGAGAGCGACTGGACTCCTATCGATTCCCTCTTACAAATCTTCGGTAGTTGAAGCTCAGAGCACTACAATCTGTTCTCAGCAAGCAGATGTACTTAAAGTAGAATTATAAGTGGGCTTTTAATTCAACATGTATTTGGCTGCCTTGTTAGGTACGAAGGTTGTGTGACTAAGTAATGTGGGGGCTGACAGATGAGGACACTGCTCGCAGAAAAATCTGTTTCTCGTGACACTAGCGTCACGTTTCACACGCTGGTCGTGGCTGCGTGCTCTTGTCTAACTCTTCCAGGTGCAACCCCGGACAACGGGTCTGGCGAAAGGACTTGGGGTTTCTGTGTCGTGACTGGGAGGGTGGTAAAGAGGTAGAGTCAGAGGGTGTCTGTCCGCTAACAGCTGGATTCTGCAGCAGTTTCAAAGAGATCGATTGTTACGCGATAACAGTCAAGGACCCGGGAAGAAAAGGTTTAAATTAGAAGTGACCAGTATTAAAAAGCTACTGTGCACCAGGTAGGAAGGAATATGAGAATATTAATATGCCCTGAAATAGAAATAATCACTTTGCACTATGTACACCACATACAATATAACATATTCTTTTTAACATTGCACAATATAAATATTATACACGGTGGAGTAAACTAAATGCAAAATACCTCTGAGGCACACAGAAGAAACGTGGACTAGACTGAACTCTGATTAAAATCAAGACGGGGTTAGTGAAAGGCAGAATGTTCTGCTGTCAGGCCAGTGAGCTCCTGGGCCGGCAGCCACCTCCCATAGATACTGAAGATTCTCAGACCTCAATGTCGTTCGCGTGGATCGCTTCAAACAAAGACTCATTAGCTAAATAATTGGAGAAAAATCGAACTGTTGCCCCCCCCCCACTCTAAAGCAGGTCAACCCTACAGGTCCCTCCCGACCTCAGGGTTTCGTGACAGGGACTCTGTTAGTCCGCGGCTGTATTTCCCCTATTTCTTGTGGATAACTTGGTTACTATGAAACCACTGTAAGGAAACTAGAACAGTATTCAAGAACACCCATCACAGTGCTTAACAAGATTTAATGTACATTTATTCTTAACATGTGGAACATATAAAGATTTTATACTGAATAAATGATATTCATTAAGCCAGAGGAAAAGGAGGAATTTACATCAAGTTTTTTTTTTTTTTTTTAAACTACATTATCTTGAAATACAAATGTGGATTCTCGTCACTGAAAAATCTTTGAAGTTGTGTTTCTTCCTTTTAGTTGTATTTTTTTCTTTTTTGTCTGTACTGGTGACCATTTTCTAAATCAATCCATATGCAACCATTTCCACACCTTGATTCATGAAGCAAATTGTGATCAGCTGCTCTCCCGAAATAGAGCATGACTTTATACATACAGAAACTTGTACATTACCCTCTTTTTTTGTTTGTTTTTTTTTGTTTGTTTTTGTTTTTTGTATTTTTTCTTTTTTTTCTTTTTTTGGAGATATGGCCCTAATGAAAAAATATATAAAATAAAAATAAAAAATTATTTAACTCTACCATCGCTTCGTAGTTACCACATCATGAAAAAGAAACTAAAAACTTTGTACTAAAAAAAAAAAAAAAAAAACCAGAAAAAAAGAAAAGAGAAAAGAAAAAATGAGGGTGTGTTTAATGTACAACTTCTATATACATCACAGCCCATAGGCAGTAAAAAAAAAAAAATATTTAAAAAATGATTAAAGGAATTGTGAAGAACTGTCACGTGGAAGGTCCAACGACAGACGGCAGACATGACCGACGGTAGTGGTGAGGAAGCAATTTCCGTTGATCGTTGTCAGGTATGTGTTTTCACTCTTAACTTCAAACGACATTGTTTTTGCTCCTAGCCTAATGGAACCACTTTCCTGTGGAGAAACCAGTATCATTTCATAGTCTGACTACTGACTGACACACCTCCTTGAGCCCCTATTCCTACATCTCTAGAAGTAGTTTCTATTGCACAGAGCTTTGGGTGATGGGATACAGTTTTGTTTTGTTTTGTTTTGTTTTCATTATCTGAAGAATGACATGCCTAGGAAGTTGATCACTTTTTCACCTTTTTTGCCTCAGTGTGGTGAAATTGTCCCATCTTAGCATCTTTCGCCGCAATTTGTTTCATTAAAGTCAATTTGCTTCCCCAAAAATGCAATACAACATGGAAAAGAACATTAAAAAGAAAATCTGTGAAAAACAACAAGTGACCTTTGAATGCACTAGACAGCAACTTTGGTTAAAAAAAAAACAAAAACAAAAACAAAATAAAAAACCCCAAAAGGATGTACTTATACACACAGACAGCAAATATTAATTTCATAACTGTTCGAATTAATTATTTCTTTAATTCCCAATTGGTAAATAGTGAATGGGGCAGAGGAGCAGAGATTTTCTTTTCCTTCTTCCTACGCTGGATAAACAAGAACAGAAAACAGCCAGTTATACGGGAGCCTCTAGTTTTCACTCACACATGCCGCCTTCTCACTGATGTCATAACTGCCCAATCTGAAACAGTACATCACAGATGACAGACGCAACCAGAGAGTTCAGGACGGCTGATATCGAGATATCCAGCAATCGGCCCTCGTGCAGAAGGAATTCCGAGCGGTTCTCGTCCACCCTGGCCATGGCCAGCAGAGCCTTGGCCGCCCTGCACATCATGTCCACGCTAGGTGGTTCTAGAGGCGGCGGTTGCATGTGCATGAGGTTATGCTGGCTCTGCTGATACTGGGCCATGGTGACCCCGTCCTCTAGGAAGCTTATCAAGTTTCCGATGCTTCCCTTCTGCACAGCTATTGCCCTTGCTGCCAGCGCGTCCCCTTGGGCAAGGTTCGATAAGAGCGCCATGGACATTTCTCGACAGACTGGGTTTTTGCGATCCCCAACGTACCTAACTAACGTAGCGTAGAATTTCTCCTGGCGACTAAATGGAGGCGTGGCCAAGATCAGGTCCACGTTGTTGTCCTGGATACTGAGTTTGCAGAGGGTCTCCAGCACAAGTCTCTGAGGCGACAGGACAGAGTTGGGTCCCACGGTTGGAAAGGGGTCTTGTGCCTCTGCCGACGGGCACACCATCCAGTGCAGCAAGCCGTCCAGAATCGGCAGGCAGATGCTTTCTGTGTACGCAGACAAGTCTAGTTGCCCGGAAATGTTGGCCAACGTGACCAGCGTGTTGTCCCTTAGGACCTCCAGGCAGTCCCACCACCACTCGTCTTTGCTGCAGGCCACCCCTTTGTCCTCGTCTTCCTCTTTCTCGTAGGTCTGCGGCGCTCGCTTCCTCTCCGGATGCTCGTGGTGAAGGAGAATCAGCTTCCCCAGGATCAGCACCAAGCCTGGATGTTTGGACATTTCGGCGTCATTGCCAGGCACAAAAGACAAGCTACGGACAATATTCGACACACAGATGCAGCGCTTGGCCAGGGAATCCTGCCAGTGCGCGATGGTGCAGAGAGGGGTCTCGTCTCGGCTCCTGGGCTCGTCCTCCAGCAGCTTGATGTTCCGGTGACTTTTGGCTTGATGTATCCCAAAGGGAAACTTCCCGCTCTCGGTCTGGGTACCAGGGTTCGCATCTTCGGGCAGCGCCCCCGGCCGAGCACAGAGGACATCATCGATGGTTGCGATGATGCTCTTCTCTTGCTGCTCGTCAGAATCGCCTTTTCCTTCCTGCTCTTTCTTCCTCCCGGTGGAGCTCAGAGGGGGAGGTGGACGCCTGCGAGGAGGAATTTCCATCTTGCTCTCAAAGTGAGTCTGGATGTGCTCGGTGGTGTCCCCCCCGCCAAGCTGCCAGTGCAGAAGTCCGCTGTTGAACTCCTGAACACGACCCAGCTTGTCAGATCGGTCGACCACAAACAGGTTGTTCTTTTTGACTATCTTTATCGGGAGCTTGTCGAACTTGCTAGCTTGCCTGGGCTTTTCCTTCGGATCCGCAGTGGCGTTGGGAGAGGCCAGAGTCGAGCTGCTCTTCTCCTCGGTCTCCGTCTTCCCGTCGTCCTCCTCCTCGTCGTCCTCCTCGTCGTCCTCCTCGTCGTCCTCCTCGTCCACACACTCGGTGCCCTCCTCCTCTTTCCCAGACTCGTCGGCCAAGGACTGGCCGTCAGCTCTCTTCCCCGCATTGTGATCAAGTGCTTTTTGGCTGGGGTCTCCCACCTCATATTCCGTAAGAATTCCAAAAATGTCAATTAGGCATTTTCTAAAGTACTCTACTAAAAGTTCCAGAAATCCGGACAGCTAGAGAGGAGGACAAGAACAAGAACGGGGACAATGTCATAACCTCACACGGGGACCGAGAAGGGTAACAATCCTAATAACTATCAATACATTTTTAGGGTGATTTTCACACGATTCATTTCCTTTTTGTCTGGGCCAAGAAAGAGAAAACACAGATGGGTGGGAACCGTCTCCTGAATTTTACATTGTTGACGAAACCACATGTTTTTTATTTGCTGTTTACTTTCCTACTCTATCAGTATGGAAACTTCCGTGTTATTTTCTTACCTTTAATAGTATCAGTGACGGACTGCTTTGTGCTCTTTGTCTTTTCTTCTGATTTAGGTACAACACACTCCATATTAGAAGAGTGGGAATGTGGATTTTATAGACTCATTCACCCAAAGTGAGTCTGTTCTCTTCTGCTATTTATCTGAGACTTGCTTGCCTGGATTTTTATGGTTATTATTCTTAGGATTTTATGGTTATTTTTGTCTCAGGTGCCATAGGTTACTCTCATTTACATTCTCCATATATCTTTGGGAGAAGATAATTTCAGCAATGTAGTAGCTCATAAACACAGAAAATTAAAAACAAATCAATTTAGTCCCTGATAAATGAATTAGAATGTTTCATCGAATGCAATTTTACATTTCAGTTATCACAACTCTAACTGAAAGACAAAAGCAACTATGAGAACCAGTTTTGTTTCCTTTAAGCGAATGTGTGCATCAAGAAAATCAACACGCTCCATGATTAGCAACTGCCCCAGCTCCCCGCCCCCAGTACCCGCGCCACCGCGTTTAGGGATGATAAAGGGTTAATAAGGAAGGGAGGAGTCTTTAATGATAGGTGTTTTGGAAGTCAACCATACTTTCATATCCTGCTATCAGTTTCCTGAAAGTGGGGTTGAAACAATTATTAAGGAGAAAGGGGAAACTGAGGTACTAACCACAAAGTACTCACTTTTAGGGGACGAAGGCACACAATTTTGCAAGTGAAGGTTTGGGCGTTTATCTCCCCCTCGCCCCCACCATACTTAAAGTGAACTTTTTTCCCAGGGCAGGGGAAGGGGCAAGTTACCAAAGCAATTCTGGTTACTAAAATGTGTGATCAACAGTCGTTCACCCAACAGAAGGCTGAAAGGCAATTACTCTAAGGGAGGCGTATACAATTTTAAATATTTTCTGTTACAGTGGACTTCAAGCGATGTTTATAACCTTATTAACACACTTCCTATCAAGTGAAAACTTGCCTTTCGGGGCTATCATGAAGGACTGAAATGTGAGAAGAAAAGACCAAGTGGAAGATTCTGGTCTAATTTCGACAGAAGCAAGGTAATTAGATGTTCTGGTTTTCTCCCCCCAAAGCAGAGAATTGTGCGTACTCAGTAAGGAGAGTTACCTTTTCTTGTTTTTGTTTCTACATATTTCTTTACAAGTCTGTAGCTTAGTTGGGCCATTTCCCCTAACCCTCTGCTCCCCTTCCCTCTTCTAGCAATTAATGCTGGAAGCCACACCTAAGTCTAGCACTGAACAAAGGACAGCGTTAAGCTTACTAAGATGAGTAGGCTTTTCAATGACTCCTTCAGAATAAGGTGGGCAGAGGCAGAAAGGAAGGAAGGAGACCAAGAAACAAGTTTGGCCGTGAGTTCACAACTATTTCAGCTGAGTGATGGGTATACGGGGGTTCACCAAGCTGTTCTCTCTGCCTCTCTCTCTCTCTCTCGTACATTTTCTATAACATTTCTTTTTAATTAAAAGGAAGGGATTATGTCTCACTGGAAAGTAGAGTATGTCCCGTTATAAGCTCTTGCGTATTCAGCCTGACTTCAGCGCCGGCTTCGTGTCTGGATTACCTCCCACCCGCCTGCTGATATTCATTCTGAACAACAATTACTTTCACTGTTATCTATGCCGCACACACACATACACACACACGTGTGCACAGAGGACTGTTTTCTCAGGAGAAGCACACGTATGCGTGTGCTTATTATACTGGAGCCTGGAAGGAATTATGATTCCCGGATTAAGCGCCCAGACAGCTCTACATGTGTAACAGCCACGAGGACGGCCCTGCGTCCCGGGGTGCCCACCACTCTGGGCATGCGTTCAAGCATGAGCTCCTGAACTTTCTTGTTCTACCCCGGCCCCTGGCTGGACGGGCGCTGGCGTACCTGGGAGAGACTGAAGGTGGCGACAGTGCTGTCATCGTACAGGAGAATGTTAATGGTGTCCAGAGCCCATGTACTTTCAGCCAAAAGACCGGACTTGAGGGACATCATCACACGCCAGGCCTCAGGAGTAACTAAAACCAGGGGAAAGGACAAGGATGAGGTGAATATTAACTCTGTGCATGAAAGAACAGAAAATAACAAAAGAATAAGAAGAAAGAAGCGGGGTGTTGAGTGAGGTTCTGATTTCAAACAAATGTGCCGAGGCGCAGTTAAACGCGATCGTTTCCAGAATTCACACGGAGGGGACGGCTTGCTAAGAAACTGCTGTCGTTTAAGATCCTTTGGCTTGTTGGTTACACATGAGCCCACAGTGCTTCTAGAGGTGGGAGTGCTAATAAGCACAAGGGCCCTTTCTCATCTCCGATTTATTTCCTTTAGTCCCTAACGGACTCTGTAATGACGCAGCAGAGTGTTAGTAATGGAGTCACAGCAAAAAAACTGGTTGTCTTCTTTGGCCCGCTCCATTCCCAAATGTCTCAGGGAGGCCCCTCTGGCAGACCTCTGGAAGGCTGGTGAGTATGCGGCAGCACATTCTCAGATATAGAGTCTTGAGATTCCCTTGCTGTCCTCTTCTATCCGAGCTCCTGCCCTCAGAACATGCTGCTGACAATTATTAGCACTTTGATGGTTCAGATTTTTCAACAGCTTGGTCTGAGCCAGGGGATGGGAAACAGAGCGACTGCGCTTTTCTTTCCCCTCTTCCTGTTACCGGAGAAGAGAGAGGGGTTAGAGAAGACATTTGCAGGATCTGCCGTAAGATGGGGCTGGGAGAAGAGGCCCGCGATAGGTCTGAAATTTCTGTCTCGGGAAGCGGGCGGAAGCACATGGCGCGAGCAGGCCTGTGCGGTCAGAAGTCACCAGGGCCACAGCCAATGCCGGACATCAGCAGTGATCTCCTGTGCTGGGGGGGCCGTGGGTTTCCACCTCTAGGTTGATCTCATCTACGTTTCCTATTTTCGAAGAGGCACACAAAACTTTTCTAACAGAAAAGGCAAACTTCCTTTTTAAAATAAGGAACATAGGGGCGCCTGGGTGGCTCAGCCAGTTAAGCGTCCCACTTCGGTTCAGGGCATGATCTTGCAGTTTGTGGATCTGAGCCCCGCATAGGGCTCTGTGCTGATGGCTCAGAGCCTGGAGCCCGCTTCGGATTCTGTGTCTCCCTCGCTCTCTGCCCTCCCCCATTCACGCTCTGTCTCTCTCTCTTTCTCTCTCTCAAAAATAAATAAACATTAGAAAATTTTTTTCTTTAAATAAGGAACATAACTTTCCCCAGGCTGAAGACAAACACTGATCTAACATGTGCAAAGACATGTATAAAAATTTAAATACATTTATTTATGTGCACACGCATAAACACACAGACACATGTGCATATTTTTACGTATATCTTTCCATATAGAAAATGGTGCTCGGTGTCTGTATCTCCTCCTTGTCTCCAGCAACCCTCTCTATAAAACTCCTTACTTCTCTCTCCCTCTCTCTGTACAGGTCCTTAATTCTGATGGTTGAAAACATCTCTAATATCTTTGATTTTCTAGTCCCTGTAGTAAATGATTTCAAGTCAAGTGATTTTGAGATTTTTGAAAACTTTTTTGTATGACCAAGATCTATAATTTCCTTTGCCGTATTAAAAGGACTTCAAAAATAATGCAGAAAAACTGTGCGTACTCCTAGATGTTCCAGATCTCTAATTAGCATTCAGAACATCCCAACAGAATGAATAAACACGATTTGCACCCGACTGAAACAGCTTTTGGGCCCATATCTACCAGCACCGGGTTACCATCAATTCTATACATCAAAGCATATCAAATTTCGTATATACTATATATTTATCTACGTATCACATGCAGGCTTCTACTTTTTCCCGGGGAAACTCACGGTCTGTATGTTGTTACCAAAATTACAGAGTGGCTCGTATTTTCTCAGGCCACCTCAGCATTTCATTAGCCTCTCGGCTGTTAGGCTCACACTGCAGAGATTAAGTGCCTGGTTAAGGTCAAAGCTTTAAGCTCAGAACTCGGTAGTCGCTGAGGATCCCCTGGTCTTTCACTTGGGGCTCTACTCTCGCGCACAGATAACGCTCCTGTGGAAAAATCCCACGTCAATTCACGCTCCTCTCGGGCACTGTTTCTGAACTCGGATCAGCAGCTTCCAAGTATTGCCCCTGCGTAGAACCACCGCTTGACAGCTTGTCGTCCTAAGAACTTCATCCCTTTGAGATTAACAGGAGCTAGATCTAAGCTAACACGAAAATTCTACAACACAACTGGGCTTCATTTCCGGACCGAGCCCGGAACGCTTACCGATATCTTTTGAGGTAATCTTTCGCCTTTGTTTCAAGACTGGCTGCGATGCCTCGACTGAGCCAGGAGGGAAGGTGATCTCCCTTCGGATCGGGGGTGGCTGGGGGGGCGGGCCCGTGACCTGGGCCGTGGGGACGGTGGGCAGGACCTTCTGCATCTTCAGAGAGGGCAGAAAGGGAGACTTGCTGGGAGACATGCGGCTCTCCAGGGAGCGCTGGAAGGACGCGGGGCTGGGGGCTCTGGAGATGTGGTTTGGCAGTGATGGAGGCGTCTGGTAGGATGACTGAGGCGGGCGCGTGATGGGCTGCATGGAGGCGGGAGAGGACATATAAGGCTGACGTTGGCTGACGTGGGAAGGCCACTGGCTCTCGTGATTGATCCTTTGCTCAGGTACCAGCATATCATCCGTGCGGTTCATGCCTGGATACGGCGGGGCCTGGGCCGGGCCCCCGGGGCCCTGCCGGTTCTGGTAGGGGTAAGGCATATCATTGCGCGTCGCCCACATGCTCTGCTGAGGCCCTTCGCTGGAGGACGACTGCATGGGGCCGCCCATCATGGGAGGCGGGATCCCGTGCGGCTGCATCTGCCCGGGGCCCTGCACCCTCTCTCTGTTGTAGGGGTACGGATACTGCCCCTGGATGGGCCTCCTGTCCGGTCCGGAGTAGGAACTTCCGTACTGGTTATACATCTCTTGCTGCTGGCTGCCGAACTGCATGTTGTACATGTCTCCCTCGTGGCGTTTGGCCGGAGGCCCATACATGCCGTCCATATGGCGTTTGTAATTCTGAAATTCATATAAAGACAAATCACACTGATGTGCTTTTACAGGTATAATCACACACTTAAATTATGCAAAACAGTTATTACCTGGTGGAATGTTCATTTCAAAATGGGTATGGGAAGCTCCTGTGACAACTAAGGACTAACAATTTAGGCACTCTATTTCCGGATTAGGATACCACATCATGGACTCCGAAGAGGGTTTCCAAAGTTTGTTTTCGTGTGCTTGGAATTTTCTGTGGGGAAAAGAAAGCTTCCTCTCTCTTTTTCCTGGTAGGTATCTCTCCTCCCTTTTGGGATTTCTCAGGGCTGCAATATAGGAGGACGTGGCTTTGGAGACTCCCACACAGGCGACGCCAGACAGGGGCTCGGGACTACACGAAGGTGCCTCGGCAGGAAGAGGAAAACTCTCACCAGAATGGACTGAGCTTCCTGAAGGCCAGCCTGAAAGCCCCTGGACAGATTTCTCAGGCCTAGCTTTGCGTTAGCAATGTCTCCCCACGGCATCTGGCTCCTCAGACCGGGCCTGCACGGACACCCTACGGTCTACGGCCCCCACCCCGACTTCCAGTTGTGCAGGTCAGAGTCTCCCCCGCAAGCCCCGCTGGTGCCAGCCTCTGACAGCAGGCCCGGTGCAGCCCACGTTACTAGGTTCCCCTCCTGGGGACATCCGGGTGTCAGCACCCCATCAGGTGGGAACCTCCTGACGTAGAGAGATGTGGATGTGTTCGTGTTCTTTCACCTCACCCAGAAGCTGTTTAGGACCAGCTGGTGTAAAAATAAAAGTCACGTACATACACGCTCCAGTAGAATTCAATGCTTAAAACCCCTTCCATGTTACCAGAGGTCTTAGACCTGAAAAGTTGTTTCGAGACAGCAAAGTCCTGTGTCTGAACGGCCACAGCATGGTGGGCAATTCTCTGCATCAGTAGTGACATCTGCAAGGTTATCTTACACAATTGAAGACCCACGGCCGCGTAGGCCAGCGTCCCCCCCCCCCCCATGTCAGCAAAACACGCGGTCCTTAAGAGCTTGTTTTTAAAAAGCCAATTAACTTTTAACTTTTGATACTGGTATATAATATTTGAAGTTGTTTTTTTTCTTCTATACACCTTCTTTAAAACATCGACAAATTTCAGTTCAGGCACCTGACAGGACAACACACACACCAGACACCCGTTTAAAAAACCTTTACTCCGGCCGGGCGTTATTTACAAGGATGAACGTCCTTTGCTTCCTACAACATGTTATATTTGTTTCGGGATCCCATGTATCAAGAGCTTTTTAAAATGTGCTGACTTTAAAATCTTAACAATATTTTCTAGCACGAGCAAATACATCCTGATTGTTCAATAAATACCAATCTTTATTGTTATACTTCCTAAAACTTCTCAGAAGTAACGCAAATTTGAGTTTTAAACAGAAAGCACAGAGATGCATTCCTGCCCGCCAACTCACCGGCTGCTGTGGATACAGGCCGGGCTGGTGTCCTCCATATGGCGGCTGTCCTGAGGGAGGGCCTTGGCCTGGGTACTGCTGCCCGTAAGGTTCGTGCCTAGAATGAGCCATTCAAAGAGAACTTCATTTTCAAAAGACCTCAGGCCGAGAGAGAAATGAACAGTTCACTGCTGGGAATTCTGCACCCCCGAGTGGTCTGGTCTCTCCCTCACCGCACAACACCTTCCAACAGAGGCACGCCAAGCAGAAACAGCACTTGAACTTTTAGCCAAAGGGATGGGCACACCCGTTTTGGGAACGCTGCCAATCTCCTGGCTAGTAGGTGTGTGAGGAGTCCCGGCAGGACAGGCTGGCACCCTCTGCCTTTGAGAGGAGCCTCCGCCCACCCACTGACGCGGCCCCGGGGAGTGTCACAACATGGTGATGTGAGGTGTTCGTGAAAGCAGGAGATAACAAAAGCAGCGTAAGAATCAAAGCGGGATTTCTGGGAGTGCCAGAACACAGACGTATAAGCACGGAAACTGTCTCTACTTATCTTCTCATTATGAATAGGAAGTGTTCAATCTCTTAAAAAGCGTACTTCCCGATTCATCCAAAATGATACTGAGTTAGCTAATAATTGTAAAAATAGACCTACTCAAAATTTTGAAGTCCCACGACCCTACAAGGCCACAGAAAAGAGTAACAGAGAGGACTTACAAGAGTGACGGGGTTGATTTAAACGTACTCCTACGTTTAAATCTTTTTTACATTTCTAAATCTTAAAATGGGAATGACTAATACACTTATTTTTCAACTGCCATTACACTGAGCAGCTATAAATACCATAAAAGTAGCACGCTTAAAAGAGCAATAGATTTGAAGTTTAAAGAGAGAAACTGGTTTACTTAGTGTATCGATTGAATCCTGTAAGAAAGACAATACTTGGATTGAATATATGCCTAAACTGGTCAAGGAATGAAAATAAGAAAGAAAATAAATGAATTTTTAGAAGATCACGGGTAAAACAGACATAGGAGACGTGTTTGCGAAGGGCATTAACAGCTAGAAGGAAGCTTACAGTTGAGGAAAGAAATAGAATTGACATAGATAAAATTTAAGCTGAACAAAGTAACACTTTTTAGAAAAATCTATCAAAGGTAAATAAGCCCTAATGGGGTACAGCCAGATGACCTAAACCAGTTCTAGAAAGCATTCTAGAAGAAACAGAACAGCGCATCTGCCTCGGTTCATTTACGAATATATGTTCCAAGAGAGTTGTTCTCCTAATCTCATTGGAAGGTAGGAAGGAGAGAAGGAAGGAAGGAAGGAAAAGGAAAAAAGAGTTTCTCTTGGATCCTCAAAAACGGATCTAAGTCAAATCCCTGCTCCAGCACACTAAGCATGATGGTTAACTGGTTAACGGACACACCACAAATAAACAGTCACCACACTTATGGCCAGGGTAAGAATCCGAAGTCTAGGTTCTTAAGTCGCTACTAGAAAGTACCAAATCACTTTAAGCTTGTGATGGCTATGTAATCGCAAGAACCAGATGCACAGAAAGTGCCAGAAAGAAATATTATTTGGTAAAAACAGTGATTTTCAAACTTCCTTCCTTCCTGTTTGTGTTACGGGGTGGGGCGGGGTGGGGGAGGGAACCTTCCCAAGACTTCACCACTGCCCGCGGCCCAGCAGGTGGGCAGTCTGTGAGGAACACCACCACGCCAGCCATCCCTACCCCGAGCCATGCCCCTGTGGCCACAGTTACAAACAGAGTCCTCTAGTGAGCCTCAATTTCCTTCCAAAATCACAAATATTACATTCAAGACTTTGTTTCTGAGCACCTGTGCGACGGTGAGGTAAAGAACCTCCCATCCAGGGGAAGGGGCTTTCGTAGTAAGTACTTAGGTCAGGGGCACAGGTAAGGGGCCTGCTTCACAAAAAGAAGTCTCCCATAAGCCACTAGTTTAGGAAGCAGTTTCCGGCGACCTCTCAGAGACACTTCAATGACTTTCCCTCCATCTAACTAAAACTAATCTGGATGAGCGCTGAAGCCCAACATTTCAGTGTCCAGAGGCCACCCTGAAAAAAAAAGACTGCCGTGGCTTTCCTCAGAGATGTTTCTTAAGGAGCAGAGTAGTCTCTCTCCGTTTCACACGTTCGCAGGGAAGAATGGAAACATCTGAGAAGACAAGGCCTGGAAGACTTTTTCGAGAGCTTCCTGGGTGGCTTTCCCGAGGGAAGAGATGCAGGCGGGAAGGCGGTCGGGCGATGCTACACGCCTGACTTTGTGGCCGTTCACAGGATGAGCCACTCGGGGCAGCTGGTGGTGGGGGTCTCGGTGCGGGGACAGGGGCCGAGCATCCGGGTGCTGAGAGGACCACCTGGTTCTCAGGCGTCCCCCTCCCCCCTCCTGAAGGCAGCCACCCCACACGATGCTTAGCGGGAAAGCAGGTACTGTGTGCTGTCGTCGGCTCCCTGGGCTCGGAAACGCACGTGTGAGGAGAGTGCAGTTTCTAGCACTCTCTCCGTGTCGTCTTAGAAAACACTCACCTTCGGTCGTAGCCGGCTCCGTAGGGAAACTGCTGCCGCCCCATGCCCAGACCGGATAGTGCTCCGGAGGGACTCTGGTTATACACGTCCTGCACACTGCTAGTGGGCATCTGTCCTTGAGTCATAAAGGGCTCACTGCTCCCAGGCACTGCAACATTTTAAATCACGGATATAAAATTAAGCATTTTCGACCCCCAAGGGGCCCAGACAGCCCTTCTAGTCATTTCTGTTAACCTCAATATGGCAGATGTAGATGTCTCAGTCTTAATATGGCCGACAACAATACAAACCAATGAGTGTAAGGTCTGGACTCAGGAAGGACCCCAAGATCCCCATCCCTGACCCCATGCACGGGCCTTAAATGAGCCCCCACCTGGAGTACCGGTAGAACCCACGAATATGATGGGAACATGGCTCCCATGATTACATTACAGTTGATGGCCAAAGGGATTTCACAGATGTAACTAAAGTGACTCATCAGCTGACTGGCAGTCAACTAAAAGGGAGATTATCCAGGCGTGCCCTTTCAATCTGTGTCTGGAAGTCAGAGACACCCGCCTGCCGCCCTTGAGGAGGCACCCACCATGCAGTGGAGAAGGCCACATATTCACAAAGGTGGCAGCTTCTAGGACTGTGAAGGCCGACGACAGCCAACAAGACAATGAGACCTCAGTCCTTCGACTTCGAGGAACCAAATCTGCCAACAACCTCAACGAGCTCGGAAGAGGGCCCTGAGTCCTGGCTGACATGCTGATGTCTGCCGTGTAAGGCCCTGAGCTGAGAGCCCGCGGGAACATGGGACCGTAAACTGATGTTGTTCTGGGCTGCTGAGTTTGTGGTAATTTGTTATGAAGTAAGGTAGAGAGTGAACATCGGCCCTTTCTTGGGTAGGTCATCAAACTTCTGAGTTCAACTCCCTGTCGATGAAGTAAAGTTGGTAATACCACCTCATGCAGTGGTTGTGAGAAAGAAATGCATACACAGTTGACCCTTCTTGCGCGGGTTAGAGGTGCTCACCCCCGCGAAGTTGAAAATCCATGTACAACTTTGGACTCCCCCTTAAAATCAACTACTAACAGGCCACCGTTGACTAGAAGCCTTGCCGATAACGTACATAGTCAATTAACACATATTTTGTACGTTATACGTACTATATACTGTATTCTTACAACAAAGCTAAAGAAAAGAAAAGAAAATGTTAAGAAAATCTTACGAGAAAACACATTTATGGGGTGCCTAGCTGGCTCAGTCAGTTAAGTATCTGACTCTTGATTTCAGCTCAGGTCATGATCTCTTGGTTTGTGAGATCGACCCCCGTGTTGGGATCCGTGCTAACAACTCAGAGCCTGCTTGGGATTCTCTCTCCCTCTCCCTGGCTTGAAAGCATGCTCTCTTTCTCTCTCTCTCAAAATACATAAACTTAAAAAAAAAAAAAAAAAAAAGAAAAGAAAAACATCTCTAGTACCATACATCTATTTATTGAAAAAATCTGTGTAAACCTGTGTTGTTCAAGGGTCAGCTGTATGGGTAAAGTTAGTTCCCTTCCCTTACGGGGGGAAAAAAGAAAAAACCTTAGCACGAATACCTATCAGCAGACTCACTCCAAAACCAGGAAAAGGAAAACCACTAGGGGATTAAGAATAACTCAAGAATGGATGAAATACTAGTATTTCTATCAGGGCGTAGAGTGGCAATTAGGTCAAATATGCAAATTAGCATCAGCTCAGAGCCTGAAGGAAATTGGGTCAAGCCCAAAAACTAGCCTGTAGGCAAATTAAACATTTTAATGCAAATCTTAATTGGTATACAGTGCTACTACCTTTCTTCATCCTAGGAAGGTTACTTTTATGTGACACGAAGCAAAAGCTGATTAAACATCTCTGAGCTGATGGAATTTGCTAGAACAGAGGTGCAGATAATGGGGTCTCACACGGGCGGGGGGGCTCTGTGCTTCGCAAGTGTGCTATCTCACACTGTATCTTCCACCTTAAGTCCACGTGTGGTAGAATGAGTTTTGATGTTACTTTCCGTTTTATAAATGCAAGAACAGAGACAGGCAAACATTAAGGGGGATAATTAAAGTTAAATAGCTTAATTCCTTGATACAAGAAAAATTCTTTAAAAATAGGTAAGGAAAAAGACAACCAGATTTTTAAAAAAATGGGTAAACGCATAAATGGACATTCAGAAAAAAAGAAAACAAATGGCCCATCAATATATGAAAAGGTGTCTGATTTCACTAGCAATTAAAGAAATGCAAGTCAAAACAACTATGAGGCCCTCCCGTCCCCTCCACTCCTCCCCCCGCATCTGACTGGCAACTATTAAAAGGACTGATAATGATCATTCTTGGTAGGAAGTGAGGGCCACACACTGTTCCACGTTCATGTGAAGAGTATTAAACTGACAAGCGACTTTTAACTTAACTTTTAACTTGGAGTGTCTGTGACCCATCCACCACGCCACGAGGCACCCCAGAAGCTCCGTGGGATGGCCCAGGGGGGAGGCCCCCTAGCCGACAGGTTCCGACGAGTTCCCAACAGACCCTCCAGATGACACCAGCCATTCAAGTGATGTGGCTCCAGCAGAGTCCCTAATCAGGCTTCCAGGTGACAGAGGCTGCCTCAGGGTCCCAGCTGACAACTCGAAATGCAGAACCACCCCGCCCACCAGAGGACTGTGAGACACACCCAAGTGCTGTTGTTTAAAGCCGCTTTCTGTGGCGGTTTGTTACGGAGTAAAAGATACTCCGTAAACTAAAAAAAAAAAAAAAGTTCACATCCCTTGATTCGGTTATTCTTTTTTTTTTTTTTTTAATTTTTTAATGTTTATTATTGAGAGAGAAAGAGAGAGAGAGAGAGAGAGAGAGAGAGAGAGAGAGAATGAGCGGGGCAGGGGCAGAGAAGGGGGAGACACAGAATCTGAAGCAGGCTCCAGGCTCCGAGCTGCCAGCACAGAGCCCGACACGGGGCTTGAACTCACGGACCACGAGATCATGACCTGAGTCGAAGTCAGTCGCTCAACCGACTGAGCCACCCAGGTGCCCCTCGGTTATTCTTTCAAGAATCTATTTCACAGACACACTCTTACACATGTGAAAAAACAGCTATACGTCAATAATCACAGCTTCATGTTTAAGAAGAGCAAAGCATGATGAAACAACACGTTCACTACTGGAGCATTAAGAAAAAGGATGATGTATGAAGATATTAACGGGTATTCAAAATATACTGTTTAGATATACAATATGTAAATATTCACTTACTGTTCACTTATAAGCAATTAATCAATCCTTCAATCAGTAATGAATTATAGAAGTGGGGGGCGGGCGGGTAGGGCCAAGGATGCTTAGGGCCACCGAGGCTGGGACAGGTTCTGGTCTCTGCCCTACACCACGCTGTAGGCCAGCGGCAGCAACAAAGAGCTGGCTTTCCCCTAATGTTGGTCATTACATAAGAAATCGGAGCACCACCAGTTCACCGACAGAAAAATGTGAACTGAGGAATGCGAAACTTATTGTAACAGGGACAGGGCGAGAAAAAAATTTGTTTCCTGTGGGTTTTCTGTTTATCTGCTTTAATTTGGTGCTAACTACACCAGCATGGTAAGGTAGCAGGTGAGCTGAATGTCCCGGGGGAAATGTGAGAAGGAGGTCCCCTCTCAGCCACTGTATCACTTACACAGTTGATGAAAACACATGATACAGCTTGCTAGTGCCTAACAAGGTAATCCACAATCATCCCCTCCACCCAATTTATTTTCACAATAAGAAAAACTGTAGGCACACAGAAACAAAAGAAAGACAACTCTCAGTGTCTAATATAGCATACAGGTGGGGCTAATGGAAACAGTTCACATAGCTTTTGAAGCCAGATTCCAAACACTACTAATTATTTTCCTCATGTTATTGTCATATTTTCAGAGCCTAAAAATGTGATACAACCACCATCAGCAAGAACAAAATGTTCTTTCTAATATCTCATACCACTAAGAAAAATAACCACCTCCAACGTTTACAAGGCTTTTGAGTTTCTGAGCTTACAGATTTATTGCATGTTCTGTAGAATATTCACTTGGAACAGACAGCTCTGAAACTTTTTGAAACGAAAAATTAGATTATTTTACTCTGTGGAACATACCTGAAATGTTATTAAGAAATACACATGAAACATAATCTCATTTGGTAGTTAAACGATACATGCCTAATACTTAAAATGTTGAAATGGGGCGCCTGAGGGGCTCAGTCGGTTGAGCATCCGACTTTGGCTCAGGTCATAATCTCACGGTCTGTGGGTTCGAGGCCCACATCAGGCTCTGTGATGACGGCTCAGAGCCTGGAGCCTGCTTTGGATTCTGTGCCTCCTTCTCTCTGCCCCTCCCCTGCTCACACTCTGTCTCTCAAAAATGAATAGATGTTAAAAAAAGTAAAAAATAAATACTTAAAATTTTGAAATGATTCATTTTTGCCTTTCACTGATCCATAATAGTTGTGAAAACCAAGGCTTTGGGCTTTACGTTTCTCTCGACTAAGGATAACATATCGAGAAATTCACATACCCCGAACATCTAAATAGAGGTACTCCTGTTTAAGGGATCCGAGAAGCAATTCCGTGAAAACAGTATTTGCTCCTTTTCTGTATTTCTTCCAATGATATTCACTATCATGCCTCAATTTCACAGCGTGCCTGCACCTGGAAGGGTGCCAAAGAGCTCGGAGAGTGTGGGCCTCGGGAGGCGCTCAAAGGGCAGAGGCTTAGATGCTACGTTCTCAGAGCCAAGTGAGCGCTGGGGATTGATGAGCATAAAGGGAAAAACCATGCTGGGTGTTTGCTAACGTCCGTCAGAACTCTCCCAATTCTCGGTGATCCCATCCATCCCATGATGCTCCATCCCACTCCTCTGCTGAGTTCCCTGAAATGATTCCTAATTCCAATGCTCTGCCCAGCTCCAGACAGACATTCCACCACCTACCGCCTTAGCACATCCCCAAGTCAACACGGGACTTCTCTCTCGTTCCTCCCGCAGCTGTCCACAGTGCAGGCGCTAACAGTGAGTGCTACCAGCGGGCCCCTTCCCAGGCGGGCATCTCCAAAGTAGTAAGGTCGTCACCCTCTCAGTAAGGTCTCACCTTGACCCCCACGGTCAATCCAGCAAGCCCGGCCTGTTCTTTCCAAGTCCAGAACGTGTGATGAGTGCTTCTGCTTTTCTCTTGGCTGCTGGAATCTGACTCCGCCCTGTCATCTCTCCCCTGGACCATCACAGTGGTCCTGCCAACACACTCTCCATAGATGCCCAGTTACTTGTTTTTTAACAAAAGACCCAGTCACGTCACTTCCTACAGAACATCTTGCGGCGAGGGTACAAACCCAGACTCATCCCCGAGCCCGGGGAGGCTGAAAGTTCTGGCCCAGTGGCCCTGATGGCTTCGGTGCGCTCAGCCTCCCCCCTGCCCATTATCCCCAGATGCCTTCCACCTCCTCAAACACGCCAAGCCCACTCCTGCCTCGGGCCTCCCCCCTCCCCTGCACTTCTCTACTCCTCATTCCTCAGGTCTCAGCAGATAACCGACATCTCCTCAAAGCCCTCCCCTCCCGACCGTCCCTTCTCATCTGTCCTTCCCTTCCGTGACCCTTAACCCGCATCGTCGCACTTGGTGCCCTTCCTTCCATCAGCCACCATATTTAATTACGTATTTGTGGTTTCGCTTCCTTTTTGTTTGTTCCCCCTAAGACACCGTCAACTCCGGGGGCAACTACGTCTGACTTATCACACTACCTAGCGCCTAGCCCCTGCCCAGCCCGTGGTATACAACAAGGCGTGCAGCGCGAGGGAGCGCCAGGAGCACGCGTGCCACTGCGTGCACCAGTCATTTCTTCAGTGGGCTTTTTGTACATGAACTCAATCCTCGTCACATCCTTTAGGCAGGTCTTGTTATTGCCCTAATTCCTAGATGAGGAAACTGAGGCACAGAGCTACTGAGTACTTTTCCCGAGGCCAGAAATCTAGTAGGTTGGGGAGCTGTGGCTCAGACACGTCTCTAACGGGCAAGTGGGTTGGCTGCGTGGTGGCAGAGAGGACAATGCCCTCTGGGCCTAGTCTGCTCCCTCCGCATTTACCTTTTCTCATTCCACCGAAGGGGTCCTTGTTGGGTTCATAGGGCATCCTGCCCATCACGTCAGGCATGCTCATGCTCTGCTGGTAAGGGGCGCTCGGGGTCATGGAGTTCCGTTTTGGGAACGATGAGTCACTGGCGTCTGAGAACGGGTCGTGCACGCTGACTGTACCGCTTCTGAAGAGACGAGGACAAGGAAAGCGCAACGAAATATCAGGAGGTGCCACCAAATGCCCGATCGGGAAACGCGCCTAACTTGAAAGTTTTTCACGTAAAAACCATCCGAAAAATTACACGGATGTAATTTCTTGGTCGACACTTGGTAGCTCGTGAGGCAATAACAGCCCTTTTACAGTCTGTTCCAGGACATTACGGGATCGATAAACACGATGTTGTGGGGCTCACGGAGATCTCCTACCGTACACACCTTCCACCTTGCATTGGGGTCATCTGTCCATGCGGGGTAGACGCTGGGGTAGGTGGCTTCAGGTCGCCTTGTACGTCTGCCATCGAATTGCTGCTGGTTGACTGGGGGGTCTGAGGACCTTGCAAGGACCCTGAGTTCGCTGGGACGAGGAGTAAGAAAGTAAGGAAGACACTAGGGGTTATCGAGTAAGCTCATCCTCCCTACTTATTTAAAAAAAAAAAAAAAAAAAAAAAGGATGGAAAACAAGACACCATCTTATTAGAAATAGTAACAATATCCATTACTGGTAACGACGTAGTAAAATTAGTTGCTCTTAGATTCTTTATAGGGAAAATTAGTAAAAGGTTTTTTTGTTTTCTTTTTTTTTTTTTTTTTTTTTTTTAGTAATCTATTTGGCAACATACTTCATTTGTGAGCCATAAAACATATTTATACCTCTTGACTGGGTAATTGCTTTCCTGGGTATTTATCTCAAAGAAAATAATCTAATATAAAAAAAGGCTTTAGGCAGAAAAATGTTTATTTCAGTGTTGCTTATAATGGAGATAATCTAAATGTCTGAGAGTAAGAAAAAAAACAGGATGAAAAATTTGGTACACCAATTTGATGGACTATTGTGCTATTTTAGGGGAAAAAATTAGAAAAATGAGTACCAGGTCTTAGGCAATGAGAAATGTTTAAGTTCAAATGCAATGACACAAATTAGTAACGAGCCTTATGTCACTTCAATGCCTCCTCGATGTCTGGATATGTCTATGCTCTGTCATTAACAGAGTCATTTTTAGAGCTATGGAATCAGATTTGTTATTACAAAAACTGAAGTCATGCTCTTTGGAGTTCTTTAATGTCATTATCAGAGTCCCAAGATTCGGCTTTAACTATAATTACATTATAATAACAGAACTCAGAATTGAGCAGATCTTTTCAAAATTTCAACGCATCTTATTGGAAAACCTAGTATTTTAAGGGGTCTTGCTTTATCATAGGCCTCTGCAGGTTAGATGCTCAACAGACATTGGTTTCATCTATTAATGAAACAAATACTTAACTGGATAAATAACACGCTTACTATATTGCAAGCTTTATTTCTACCCCTGGCACGCCAGTGTCCAAAACTGACAAAAGAGACACAAATTCCTGCCCTCATGCGGTTTATAATAAATGCTTTCAGAGCCATTACATATGGCAGAATTACTAGTGCTTGTAAGTGATGATACTGTACAAGTTATTAGCTATAGTCCCTTTCTTACAAGCTGTCCAAGACTCCCTACAATCACCACCAGCCACATTTGACTGCAGAGTAAACGGGGTTCCGCAAATCCCTGGAGACGACAGAGTGCACTGGGAAGGAGTCAGAGATAGAAACGAGCCCAGCACTTCTACTCAAAAAGCCTCGGCTGAACACAGACGTCTCCAATGAGCTCAGGTCAGCCCGGGCCTGGCCGGCTGGGGGATGAATCCCGACCCTGGCCGCCAGGGCCCTGCCTTCTGTATGAGGTGTCCTGTGGGTGCCTGGGACCAGAGGGTGCCTGGGTCTAGAGGGACTCAGGGAAGTTCCCAGAGATGCCGGGAGGACTAACTTTAAAAGTAGACAATCTTTTTCATGCCAGTATCTCAAGAGAAAAGCTTAGGAACGCATGTTTATAAACCAAACTTTGGTGAAACCCTGGAAAGACATATTAAAAAGGTAGATGGTAATAAAAGAAAAAAGCAGTCTTCTATTAATACGTAAGGATAATCCTACTGACGTGACTGCCCCACAGAGCTGGCAGGAGAAACAACGTGCTTCTGGGTTTTTTTCTAAATCTTTTGTTGTTGTTGTTTATTTATTTTTTAGAGAAGAGAGAGAGTGAACATGAGTGGGGGAGGGGCAGAGAGAGCGGAAAACACAGAATCCGAAGCAGGCTCCAGGCTCCAAGCTGTCAGCACAGAGCCCGACGTGGGGCTCGAACCCACGAGCTGGGAGATCATGACTTGAGCCGAAATCGGCCGCTCAACCGACTGAGTCACCCGGGCGCCCCGAAATTAACGTGCTTCTTCAATCACAGAACAGGCTCCACAGCAAGCCTATACGGCTTCTTTGGAAAAACGGTTCACAGGCTGTGATTTCAGAATGACCCTTATTTACAAGTATTCACATTTACAGCTAATAAAAAAAAAAAAATGGAAAAATTCTTCCCTCTTGCCAGTGTTTTTTCTGCTCCTTTCAGGAAAAAAAAAAAAAAATGAATGCAACCTCTTGAAGCTCCGTTAATAGATGAGGCTGGCACAACTCTCTAGGATATCCCTACCTTTTGCCAGAAGCTACAAATGTATACTCGAAAGTAAACAATGGAAAGGTTATGGAAGGTTAAGTACATTCACACACTTCAGACTGTACAGCCAGACTCCTAACTGGGAAGATAATTTACACAGCACGAACCTGGTGCCCTACTTCTGGCTGGGGTTGCGGGAAGGAGGGAAGGGAGAATAGCTGATATGTCCCAGGTCTACAGCGACTAGAGGTCACCCGGAGGGCACCTTTGTTTATAACCTGAACCCCTTTCTCATTTATCTTCCGCTGAGGATTCCCTAGCTGGATCCATGACAGGTTTTGTGACATCACCTGTCAGCTAATAATAGAAATGCAGTCAGCCACCTGCCAGCAAAGATGGATGGGTTTTTGGTTACAGACTCACTAATTGAATGTGCGAGCTTCCTTGCTCCCCCCACCCCCCGACCCCCCACCCAGCTTACGGGCCGCGCGGGCCACTTGGGGAGGCCGATTCCCGCAGCTGTTCAGCAGAACTCCACAAACTTTTACGGGCTTATTATAGCGAGATCCCCACTGGTGCCTCAGAGGTGCAACCATACCCCAGGCCTTGCCCGGCTTTCATTCGGGAGCTTTCTCTCGTGGACTTGCTCTAGTCACTGGAAGACAGCCACACGGGTCTCGGGCAGGAGAAGCCACACGGCCACTCACGAGTGAGGATCGTGGCGCGCCCCCAAGGGCTGAGGGGTGACACCTCCCAGAGGCTGGCAGAAATGAATCTCAGGCCACGTCAGCCACGTCGCCTCAAAAAGGGGGGCCGGGTGGACGACTCACGATGCTAACAGGGCCAAATGATCCGGGATTTGGGTTGCTTCCGAGCGGCCCTGTGAAGAGCAATCTGGCATGTTTCTCAGGAATCTTTTAGTTTAGTTTGCCTGGAGGTGCTGGTTGGTAAGAAAGAAGCTACAATTACCCTCTTATGGGAAAGACGGACTTCTAAGAACACGAATTCTGGCTGAAGATTAGGTTTTAAAAATTTTGTAGTATACGAAACCCTAACATGGCTAACGGTTGGGGACAATTATTATTATTTGTTTTCTTTCTTTGACGATAAAAATGTTTCAGAGTCGTTTCCCTTAACGGATGCCAGGCAGGAGCGTGGCTTTTTGGTTATGGGGCTGATGTCGGTCAGGACCCTACTGACCAGCGTGTGTGTCCTCCTGTCTGGCTGAGCGGAGCGTCTCGAGCGGCGCACGGAACAGGTAAGGAGGCAGGCTGGCCCCGTGTGCTCCGCACGGGGCCGCCTGGGCCGCGCCCTGACTGGGAGGCTCAGCTCAGGACGCCCTCCTTCCCCTGCTTCCTGTTTCACAAGCCTTTGGACCATGGGGACCACTGAGAAGAATGTGCTATCAGAAGTGCATCTGCAATCCGAGCTCTTTTGTGCAGTTAAAACGATAATGTGGCCACAAAAACGGTAGTTTTAAAAAAAGGGAAAAAGGAAAAGAGCCGACTGTTGAGAGAAGAGGCCCTACGCTTTCTGAAGGGTCTATGCCTCAGCGGGATTTCTTGTACTGAAGCTGGTCACGCTGGGAGAGCCATTCTCCATACAGAAGTGCTGCCCATTCAGTGACACGAGCTTTTCCCCGGCAAATAAAATATACTTTTACATCTTTGCAGACATCGCCACTTTGGTCCCTACACCCCACTGAGTTTTTATTTAGGAAAAATAGTTTCAGAGCCGTTCACAGGCGGCTTGTTTTACTCTGTGAACGGGATGTAATGTTGTGAGACTTTTAAAATTAGATTTCACAGTTTTTAAGGTACACCGTAACTACAAAGGCTTCGAATCCTTAAGGGTGGGGCTGGAGAGGATTTCGAGTTGTGTTCAGAACTGTCAGATCTAAATATATATCGAGGTGTATTCCCTGCAAGTGCGCTTTGGCCTACGGAAGTAGCGATGTGAGATCCCTTGATTCATGACCTTAGGTACTAGCACTGTCATCCAGAAAGCAGCAAGAGGAAATAATTAAAAAGAAAACAATTTCTTTCTTTGGCTCACAGACACCTTCTTGTGTGTGCAAAAGGCTTCCCTGTTACAATGCTATTTCAAATACGGACAGAGGAATACAGTAGGTCTAGGCATAATGCCAGGGCTGGATAGCACTCACTAGCAGGAGATCTGGGGCCAGTTAGTCAAGATTTTATGTGCCTTAGTTTTCTCATGGACTTTGGGACAGTATCTGTGCATCATAGGGGGGATGCGATTGAATGGAAAAGCACTTAGAAAGGTGCCTGGCACACTTTAAGTGCCTAAGAAATACTGGCATTTGATCCCAGGGCAATCCTGTGTGATGGACAGTGGCAGGTACGGCCAGCCTCACCTTGTACGTGGGACAGCACAGCAAAGTGCTGACCCCATCACAGGGCTTGGATGTGGCCAGAAAGACAAGAACACGGTTGGATCGGACTTGAGTGAGGTCACCACCCAGAACTCAGGAGGATGTAAATTTCTTCCTATCTTGAATACTATATTTATTAGAATATAACGAGTCAGTAATTTGAAACGCTAACAGGTAGAACTAAGACTAGCAGGAGAGCTGAGAGAATGGCAGGGTCTCGAACAGTTGAGTGGAGAGACAGGAGAGAAGGCATTCGCTTGGTTTTGCTTATGAGGATTTAGGTGAACTGCGTTATTCCTAGGTAGTATTCCTAAGACTCCTGGCCTCTAGGTCAGAGCTAATGGGCTATTCGGTCTCAGAAATAGGGCTGCATGGACCTTTACCGTGACAGTTTGCTAGATTCCCTACAAGTGAGAACATGCTGAGCAGGGGACAGTAAAAAGAAGTCCAAATTTCATTTTGCTAACAGACAACTCTGAGTGTCGCTGACACAGGCACAGCTGGTAGGAACTGGCTGTCAAACCTATAGGGTGGCATTTTCTAGTAGCACAAAAGTATGAGCACAGGTTACCGGGGACACTTATTTTGACAGAGTTAAATGGAATATTTAAAAATACTTGTACAAGGAATAAAAGGTTACTGGGGATACTTATTTTGACAGAATTAGACGGGATGTTTTTAAATACCTGTATAAGGAATAAAGGTCTACAGCTCAGAATTCCACAGAAAGCCTTGGAAATGTTGGCCCCAGAGGGCAGCGTCCCAAACCGCATGCTTGCCTCCCTTAAGCACTGCCGACCGGGGGGGGGGGTTCAATTAAACAGAACACAACAAAACGCCCCTTGTCCTCAGAGATCCCGCGTTCTGTTTGCTTTACTGTGAAGTGGCCTTCTCAGAACATGAGTGGCGGGTGGCCTCCAGCGCCCTGGGGTGGGGGTGGGGTGCAGGTGGGGGTGGGGGTGCAGGTGCCTCGCCTTTCCCCGGCGACAAGTGTAGTGCTCCCGCTTACCAGGAGAGGGCGGCTGGAGCTTCGGCTGCTTCTTGGTGTCCGCGGTGCTGAAGACTTCCGGCGGGGGCTCCTCCCCGCGCTCAATCTTGCACTCAAAGGCAAACAGGTACTGGATATACTGCTTTTTCAGGGAGCTCGCTGCACTGCTTGAAGTGCCAACATTTAGGTTGGTTGCCAGCTCACGCCACTTCTTGTTTTTATTAACCTAGCAAAAAAAAAAAAAAAAAAAGGCAGGATCATTGGTTTGCAGCAAAGTGGCTTGTTTAAAGCCAGGAGACCAAAAAAAAAAAAAAAAGCACTTAATGTCTTGGTTTACTTTTTTTTTTCATTTGCCTCTCTTAACGAATGCTCATTACTCCCACTCAGTAGTGCATAGACGGCATTTACAGTTATAAAACCATTAAGGGACCTGCTGAGAGCTACATAAAAAGCATTGCTCCTTGCGATTCTTCTGCTTGGTGTGCCTTCTAATGCGTCGCACCATTCCAGGCCGTTGCTGCTCAGAGCCCGCGATTTTTTTGAGCAAATGTACACTCTCACCCGCGCTCATCCCCAGCCCACCTCTCATCTTAAAAAAAAAAAAAAAAAAAAAAAAAAAAAAAGGCACCCGAAAAAGAACTTAAAAAGCAGTAACAGAACTACTTTGCAATTTAAGTGCTGAGCTCTGATACGAAAAACAGTGTTTCTTTCCACCAGCCCAAGCTCCCTGTAATTCTAGCCTGCATCTCTTCTCTCACGGGAGACTTTCTTAGGGTGTTGGGCAGAGGGCCCCTCACTGGAAAGCCAGCACCAGCCATCCACCCTGGGTGGCTCTGTGAAGCCACGAGCGAGCCGACGCGGTGGGTACCTGCGAGCTGGGGAAGGGGCAGAGCCACGCAGGGTTCCCACTGACGCTCAGGCTGCAGAGAATAGAGCCGCAACGTGAAGAGAAAAAAGGAGAGAAATCCTGGGATGCTACAAAAGGACTTGAGGCATTAACTTTCGGTTTCCACTTGGGACAGTTAAGCAAGGTTGGACGTTCGAAGGAAGCACACAGACCTGCGAATATTTGGGGAATATTTTGCCTTTAGACGCACCTGGCGCTAAGTAAGGAGCATGGTTAAATGTTAAGGCGACAGTGGTTTTTAATGAAATGTTCAATTTTTGGATTCAAACTTTATCACAAAGCTCTTTATGTCCATTTACTTAGTACTAAATGGTGTGTGATAAACAAAATGCTCGCGAAATGCTTCCGAAGGGATAAGAGGCATGTTGCCTGGGCTGCCCTGAAAAGCAAGGCTCTGCACCGACCTCTATGTGGCTGCCAGTGCCCACTCTGACTGCAGCTCAGGGCGGCCAGGCAGAAATCAAGACGGGGTGAAGGGCAACGTGGCCACGCGGCTCACCATCGTGCATCACAGCTGGGCTCAAGCAGCCCTTGTTAGCCAGGTAGGCAATGAACCTCACCCACAGACCCAACATGGTAGGTAATTCCCGCTGTCGACGGAGGAAAAGTAAGGGGTCTGGACAAGCTCTATGCTTCTGTGAGGGTGAAACCCAACTGTACAGTGTCCTGAGGATTCTAAAAAATCTATGCCACGGGGTTAGGATAGAGGGGAAAGGTTGGGGGAGCAGGTGCAGAGAGGAAAGTTCTAGGTGTAGGAGAGAGTTTTGTATCTTGAGCTCTCCCTCCACTGACCACCACTCATGCACTTGGTCTGCGATGTACGACTTACCACCTGACTCTGCAAAGCCTTGGCTCAAGCTCTGTTGGTTTCGGGCGTACACGGAAGGTCTCTGGTGGGATGAGGCCCCTCCGGGAAGGCTAGGGACAAAGGCCTGGCCTGCTTCCCCTAGAGCTGCGAGGCGCTGAGAGCAAGGCGGGCCCTCAGCGGTACCCGTGGATTAGGTGACTCACTCCCGAATGGTTAGCGACCCTGTGGCACCGGGGCGGAGTGCAGGGTCCCACACTGTGTACTGGACCACCTGGGCCCAGAGCAGCTCCTTTCAGTGATCCGGGTGGGAGCCCAGGTGCTGACAGGTTTTTAAAGCTCCCCAAGTAATTCTTCTTCCCTCCCCAAGTAATGCTAACGGATAACCAGCCTGAGAGCTACAGGAAGATGGGGGGGGGGGGGCACGTGTCTTAGAATCTGACAGACCTGGCCTACAGCTACCCTGAGAGTCCCTGGGCCACCCAACCCTGTTTCATTCTGTTACAGTGTCCTCTCCTCTTTGGGGCTGGTGACGCCTGCATTTAACGGGTGTTCAGAAAGACCATGCCAGAACAAATGGAAAGCATGGTGCCCAGCACGCAGTGAGCACTTACCTGGGACCCCTTCCCTGCTCCTCTCGCAGGACATGCACTCATGTGCTAGACTCCAGACCACAGCAGAGCCAGGACCAGGGGGAGGAAAGTTTGGCCCCCAGGGTACCAAGTTTAGGGGAGCACTGGTTCAGAGAGTCAGGCAGGGGCAGGGGAGGCACCGCGCAAGCCTGAAGAGTACCTTCTGAAATTCCACACCCTGATGCCACCCCTCCTGCACCCCAGCCCCAGTTCTGTGCAGAAATGCCCCTCTTACCACTCGGGCACTGTGGACATGCTGTGAGATACAGGACTTCGTTTTCTTAATAAATTGCTTTGGATTTAGAACTGATCTGGACAATTAATTTGGTCATTTGCAAAACATTCCTGGAGCATTTACTATGAAATCTTGGCAGATTCCACAGATTTCTAGAGCTGTCAGGGAACCTAAAGAAAAATCCAGCCGACCGTCTCATTTTGTAGATGAGAATGGAGGTCCATGTAAAAGTGACCTGCCAAGGTCACACTACAAGTTGGTGCCAGGCCCAGGGCCCCACCCCAGTGCTCTCCCCGCACAGCACACAGACATGAATCCCATGGGCTTAGCTTTTTATTTAAAAAAAAAAAAAAAAAGTACAAAGAAACCTTTGGGAGCTTACGCACAACGTCTCCTCATTCACTCACTCGCACTCTCACCTGTGCCAAACCTCCGATCTCTTTGACGCAGATGTAGAGCCGGAACAGGTCCAAGGGCTTCTTGCCCACCGCGGGCAGACTGGAGACGGGGGAGCCTCTCTCTTCCATGAAGGTAAGGTATCGGTCGACCCACAGCTTTCTCTCCGGCTCATTCCCCAACTCATACACCTTTGTGATCTTTTCCCCAGTGGTGGTGGATGAGCTGGACTTCTAGCGCCCAGAAAGAGCATTTGGAAGTGGGGAATGGGTGGGCAGAGGGAAAGGGAAGAAGGTGAGAAAAAAGTAATGAGCTACCAAACACAAGAAGAGAAGAAATTTAAAAACTACCGCTATCACACAACAATCAGGAATGAAGGCTACTAGTTCAGGCACAAACTATACATTTTCTTAATTAAGACTTTACTTTGACTTTAAATAAAGGGCCCAAACTCCCCCTTTTATATACTTAAAAAAAAAAACAAAACCCTTTTTCACTTGATTGATATAAGCGTTGAATCCCAGAAGGCAAGTTTCCAAGGACGCCCCATGTCACTTTTAAAAATAAGAGGGTGCGAGTTCATAGAAGAATCACAGTGAACTTAAAATTTCACATTTATGTAATATTATAGAGCCCAAAAAACTAAACGGACTCTTGTTTTTCCTTGTTAAAATAAGAGTCAACAATGTGTGTCTTCATTAAAATGCTAAATCTTATGGAGAACAGATATGGGACTTGCTGAAATATAGAAGGTAGGTCACAATTCATAGGGACCAGTGGTGTGGTTTCTGCTCCTTTGTAAGCTTTATTAACTAAGCCAGCTAAAGTTTTGGCATTTACTCACGATGACTAGCTTTCCCTATGTAAGGTTTCTTGGACTTCTCTGCCAAGGCAAGGCGCTTGTAGGAATTGTTTTAACAGATTTCTCAGGCAACCATGCTTTAATCACAAACACATGGGCTATTTCATATTCCCTGCAGATCTATGGATACATATAGGTGTTTACTTTTATACACATGGGTTTATGTGCTCGTGTGGTTTATACTGAAGCTCTAATTCTTATCTTCGGTTTTCTAATTCTATGTGATAGTAAAATGTCAAAATTTGCTGTTTGTGCACAACTGAAGCCCACCTTCTGGATTATGTGATCTGGGAAACTAACATTTTTGGTACAGCCCAAATGTATGTTTTTCTTTTATGCCTCTTATGTCTGTAACAATAACTTGTGTGCTTTAATATCTGCAGTTCCAGGGCTGCTGTGAAAAATTCACTTCTAAATTCTCAATCAAGATTTCCTTGGAACAATAATTTACTTCCTCATGTGTCTTTACCAGCTTATCATTTGCAATGGATAGTCCTCATTTTATTTAAAAAAATTTTTTTTTCAACGTTTATTTATTTTTGGGACAGAGAGAGACAGAGCATGAACGGGGGAGGGGCAGAGAGAGAGGGAGACACAGAATCGGAAACAGGCTCCAGGCTCTGAGCCATCAGCCCAGAGCCTGACGCGGGGCTCGAACTCACGGACCGCGAGATCGTGACCTGGCTGAAGTTGGACGCTTAACCGACTGCGCCACCCAGGCGCCCCAGGATAGTCCTCATTTTAGATGGGACTTCCTCTTAACTCTTTTCCATTGTATTTGGCTTAACCGTTTTAAACACATTGCTGAAATTTGGGGGGTCAAATAACATGACTGCCATTGAAGTTTGATGTTACTTTGTTAGTAAATGATCCCCAGTGAAAGTAGGACCTCAGAGAGGATGCTTGAGAATGAAAATAACAACATTCCTCTAACTGAAGGCACCTCTCCCAGGCTATTTCCGCTGAAATTTTAAGCCTTCGGATTCAGAATTATTGAGGCATAAAACCTTTACATCAAATACATAAAAAAATGGGTGAATACAGTTGATGTAAATAAAAAATTTAGGGTGGTGGGATTAAAAAAAAGTGTGATCTTTTAGAATTTACATTAATGCTGAGGCTCAAGAGTAAGTCACTTAAAAATTACTTTCGAGCTTAAAATATATACACATTCATATATATATATATATATATATATATATATATATCCATATATATACTCAGAATCTGGAACACACTGTATATTCAAATAATATGTTTTTAAATTTTCTTTTCCATATTCATATACCCAAGGAATATTTGACTGGGAAAAGAAATTGTCCTACCACATTTTACACATTCCAGAAGCTCTGTCATCACTAAGGGGGGTAGTTAGTTTCTAAATGCTAGTTAAAAAAATTTTTTTTCCCTTTTGGGGCACAATACAAAATGGGCCCACTGTCTTTTTAAAAAATGAGATTTTATCACCTAAAATCAATCAAAAAAGAAAAAAAAAACCCACCAACCCTCTCACTTGCATTTTATTTGTAACAAATTGAGAGGTAAAAGTTTGACATTCAATTTAAGGGTAAGAGAAATAAAAGCGATCGTTTCAATTTAAAATTACCTTGAGTGGCTCTACCAGCGCTCTGAATCTAAGATCCAGGCCATCTCTGGCCTGGTCCTCTCTAGATGCCAAACTGGGGAAGGGGTCTGGAAGGACCGTTCATCAGGCCCTGAGCAGTGGGGCTATGCAGATGTCTGTTCCCATTTGTGAAATGAGTGTATCTCCTAACCTGAGATAAGCCTCAAATAATAGTGTACTTACTTTGGCCATACATATTTTACCTTTCCTTACCTTTCTTTGTTAAATGAACTTGAATTTAATTAACTTTTGTATGTCTCAATTTGTTCTCATAAAGTTAGAAAAGCTTAATGAAGACAGTGGTTTTTAATAGGATCATTTTATTTTTCATAGCTTTAAATCTTCAAAAAAGACTTAAGGATTTTCATGGCACCATAATGTAGGAAAATGCATCTGGAGGAGAAGTGGTCAGGCCTCAGGTGATGCGTCAGTTCCTGGAAGAGGCCTCCCAGGCACACAGGCTCCCTCATCTGAATCACTGTCTCCCGCTCTATTTGTCCTTGGCGGCCCTTGGTTACACGGCCTATAAAAAGCCCGTGTTTTGCGTGGGATCATCTGTCTGCCCTACGTTCTCCTGACTAGACTTTATGTTCCACGAGGCAGGGTTCGAGCCGATTTTGAATCCCCAACAGCGACTGCACACTGGAGGGATCTGTAACAGGATTTCAGAGACCGGGGTGCTGAGTGACCGCGGACACAATCCAACAAGACTGAAAGCTGAGGAGGGGTTGTGCCCATGACTGCCACATTCCATCTCTACTCCCAGCCTCAAGGTCTGTTTACTGGCCAGTTATCAAAGTTAGTCTTTGGGTGTCCGAACAGAGGAAAAGGACATAAAGGGAAACATAAGTGCTAGGAAATAAAAGAGTATAGACTTTATCGTCGATTAGGCTCAACATGTACTTTTTCTGTTCACAGACACCAGCTTCGATGCAACCTTTGGATGGGTGTCATCATACGCTCTAGCCACGGACACTGGGCAAACACACCAGCCCTGCAGAAAGACGGGTTACCTCTTCCAGGTCACTAGGAGCACCTCACATTGCTTCTGTCTTGTAAAAATGGTATTCTAGTGCCCGTAACTGTCATGGGCGCAAGAGAAGGGAACGGAGATTGCTGAAAAATTACAGGAAGACATTATGGCGCCACAAATGTTTTCCTTGCATATAGTTTAATTAAGTCTATAAGTACATTTTTCCTCAAATCTCCAAGGCAGATTTACATTTCAGCAGTCTTTACCATATGCCTGGTAATCTGTGTATGTGCAAATGTTTATTTTTATTTTAGAATGTTCTGTAACAAAACAATGTTGGTCCACAGCACACTGTCAAAGCACTGAACATCTTTATTATTCAGTCCATTTCAGGCCTTCTATTAGGCAGGCTTTATTAGAGACACTGGTAGGAGCAATTTTTAAGTGCAAACTGAAGTTGTGTCTCAGAAAGAACAGTTAAATATTCCTAAATCGTATATATCAGCAGTGATTTGACAGCACAGATACTCTCTGGTCATTCCTTCCGATTGCATTTGGTTCCCTTCTTTAAATTAGCATCTCATCCAAGACAGGCGCCATTTTTTCCATACAGAGCCGCCATCTGAATCCTTCTACCTGGGACCACAGCCTCCCCGGTCCTTCTCTACCACTGGAGCTGGACATTTGCGTGCCCGTTCTTAAACATACAATGGTTATGGTACAGGAAGAGATAACGGATGTGGGAATGTTTAGAAAAAAGGAGTATGCAACCTTATGGAGAATTATATTATACTCAGGAAATGAAGTCAACACTTCAGTTTGCTTTTTTCTTATATTTAAGTGGAAAGTGCGGTTTTGGTAATAGTTTCTTTCCTCTGGGACTCATTGGATGGAGATCACCTGACTAGTCGAAGTATCATAAATATCTCACTCCATCTTTATAAGCCAGAGTCAGTAAAGTGGCATTTTAAACGTATAACATATAATATCATCTATCAGTAGTCTTTGTTTTTCACAAATTGTTATTCTTGATTATTATCTTACGGTTTTAACGATTATGATTTTCGGCCTCTAAAATGTCTCCCTCCGAGCCAACATAATACATGTTCTTGAAAAGTTTTAATCTGAGTTCTACCTGCTAACCTGAGAGTATGCCGATTCAAAAATGCTCTTCTTGTGATGAAGACAAAACACAACACAACACCAGGGGAGATTGTGGGGAAAACCCCCGGAACGTCGGCTGCCTTCTGAGACTCAAAGCCAATGACACAAAGCCATCAAGATGCGGGAGTTGCCCTTCCCCTTCCTGTTAGTTCTGCAAACCCGCCCGAGAGCATTTTTCATTTCATCTCCGTTGCTGCAAAAGCAAAACATGTCTACAGAGAAGGTAACAGCGAATATTGCCCTTTCTTCCTCTGAAAAGGAAAATGCTGGTTATACTAGAGCTCCACATGAATTTTACAAACATTTACTGGAACCACCAACCCTTCAAACCCTCAGTTCTATCTGTTTAAACCAGTGAATGGATAATTAATAGCAGCCTCCTTTTGGGGTTTTGACTAGATTGCCAGATTCTGCACATAGAGACTTCTTCCCTCCAACTCGCTTTTCCTGAGCTGTACTCTTCAATACGTCGTCTTAACAAAAATTAGCGTGTTAATTAAGCCTTCTTGGCAAGTAATTGCATGTTAAGGCTTTTTTTTTTTTTAAACAGATCTTTTGATTCCCTATATGAATGTAAAATAAAGGTTACTACAGTGCCATTTTATTCTTTTTTTTTTTTTTTAATGGCACAGAATTAATTTCTTCAGTAGGAAAATAAAGACGGAGCTCTATGGACAGAAGAACATTAAGACTAAAAAAATTCCCTTGTATGCACATCACCATTTTTGTTTTCTCTATATCATAAGGAAATCAACACTTAATTTCAAGATTATCAGCAGTCTTGTGCAGGATGTAATTTTTCTATCTCCACTCATTCTAATGCAGGTACAAATATTATTCTAAAAGTAGCCTTCCAAATATTCACTTACAGGAACATTTCTACAGCTTTGCTGTTAATTTCTGACAGGTGGAATGAAACAAAGTAGGGCTGATATTGTGTTAACCCCTGCCCAGAGTGTCACATCTCTATTTTCAGGTAGGCAGTTTTGAAATACGATGTTTCAGATACAACAGCCCATGAAAGATTTAGGCCAAAGGCCAAACTTGTCATTTACTCCTTGGCTGCTATTAGTTTCCATGTAAATGGAGAAGTAACTCGTTTTAAAGATCTTCTGTAAGTGCACAACGGATCAGACATTTCAACAAAGTCACTGGGTGAAGGAGTTTGGACCCGGTAACACAATCACATGCTTCATATCGAGGTGCTTCTTTATAACAGCGGTTTCATTACCAGAAATCAACTTCTACGATTTGCACAAACTTTACTCATTTTGTTACTGCTACAATCACAAAGCAAACCCTTTCATGGATAAATTATGAAGAAAAAGTCTTATAAAACAAATCAATCAGCAAGCATTAAAGTAGAATTACTTAATTATCAAAAAACCCCCAAAAAACAAAAACAAAAACAAAAAAAAAAAAACGAAAACCACAAAAAACCAGAGCCACTTACAGGGCTTGATGGAGTCTTTGGCCAGCCTGGGCTGCTAATGCTATCACTTTCATCTCCATGAAATGAGGAGATGCTAGCAGAGCTGGGGGACATTGGGGAAGGGACTGGCAGGTTGCCGGGGGTTGGGGGCTGAGATATACCCTGAGAGCTGTAGCTATCCTGTGGTAGAGGAATAAAAAAAAAAAAAAAATGACAAAGGTAGGGCAAACTTTATTTAAAATAACAAAAAGCACATCCAGTTTAACAGACTGATTTTTATATATAATGGATATATATAAAGACATGTACGAACAAACACACAAAGACACACACATGTAAAGGTATTAGAACAACATTCTTAATTAGTAGAATTTGGTCAGTTCGCTGGATGCCGGAGAAGGCCGCTAAGCCACCATGCTTACTTCAAGCTGACACGGAATGCTAAGCATGGGTTACCCCTTATGAAACAAAGAAAGGAAAAAAAAAAAAAAAAAAAAGCTGTTCACCTTATTTATCAAATAAGGCAGGAAAGCAAAATATTAAGTATGTTGTTGTTGCTGAGGCGGCCAAAACAGGAAGCTATAAACTGAAGGCAGAGAAAATGGCTGCAAGTGTCAAAACCAGGCAAGGCCCCTTACTTCTCCCCACCCCCCCGAGGCGTTTCTCTCAGGTGGGTCTCGTCCCTCCTCCCCTCTCCCACAGCCAGGAGTTAAATGCCGTAAGAACTAGTAACTTTCAGATCCACACCATGAAGGGGGGGGGGGGGGAAGGAAAGAAAACTACAGACGCGGTGCACAAAATGGAGGCATGCAGGAGAGAAGAAAGTGGCGACGAAAGTGTAGGCCAACACCGTGACTACAGAACAACATGGCAGCTTCAGCGAGGCAGACCCCACACCGCGTGCAGAGGAGAAAGGAAATACCTTCGACTTGCTCTCGGGCTGTGGAGTGCCTTCTTCTTTACCGTCTGCTTTGAGAGGCAGGGGCAATTTGGATTCGCCAGGAGACATCATATCTGCAAGACCCATAGATGCTAACCGAAAACAGGAGAAAGAGTTTAGGATTATACATGTGATTCGTCAGGCTGGGCTCCTGCTAACACAAGTTACTGAGTGATGCGTGGGGCACTTGCATTTCCCTTGAAGGAAGAAAAGAAAAAAAGAAATCGTAACTCAGAGCACACTCGTTTCTGACATCTAGACAGCACGATATTCTGGTGGTCCTTTTTTAACTTAAAAAGAAAAAACACAAATGCAATCGTTTATACAACACCCCACCACTGAAAGTCAACTCGTATCAACGTTATCTTCTCAAAATGATCACAGCGTTATTTAATGGAGTAGGTGACAAGTGGAAAGAAGTCCAATGTTTAAACTGCTCATCGGGTGTTGAAAGGAAAGAGTGGATGTGTGTATTTTCTACCTGGTGACTAGAGGATGTTGTGCTTTCTTAATTTCCTAAGTTTACATAGTCTATAGTTGGCAAATTCATTTGACATTTTATATGGTTTCATTTGAAAATCTTATCTATTCCATGTGGCCTGGTCTGCAACGATGGAAAACAATCGTAACAAATGACTTCAAAAACAGTAATCAAAAGTTCTTTTCGAAGGAAAGGATTTCTAATTAGTTTGCAGTGGGGCTGCTTTTCTTTCAGTCTGGGACCATACGTGCCCTTATCAATCCCCAGCAGCAGCTCAAATGCCCAGCAGCCCAAGAGTCAACTCTACGCTCCCTGGCAAAACTCACTCTCCATCTCTAGGCTCAGAAATTCTACCAAGTTCATCCAGGCTTTAGATTGAAAGGTTCTCCGAAGAACAACTGATTTAGACGCATTTATTACCCATACGGATAGACATTTTCAAGCTAAAAATATGGGTTCGGATTTCTTTTTAAAGGAAGCACAAGGCTACAGTAGGGAATCAGTGTAGACGTCCAGGGAATAACAGCTGAATTTCTACAGAACCCCACTGTGAAAACCATCTGCACAACACTGGGCCGGGAGTGCGACACAAACAGATGTGTGAGGAGAGTTGGAAACAGACAAGGGCGAGTGGAGAGAATTATGAGCCTTGTAAATGAGTGAAAGCCAGAAAACATTCCTATTTCAAAATAAAGTAAACCTGAGGTTTTATGAACAGGACCCATTCTACATTCTGCAAACGAAAATGCTGGCTCAACCAAGGCAGTGCACATGTTGCATAAAGTGCCAAAAAAAAAAAAAAAAAAAAAAAAAGAAGCGTTAAAAAAGGCTCTACAGATTGCCCACTACGAAATGATTATTGCACATATTCATGTATTACTATGTTTTAGAAAATAATTAGTTTTAATTACAGCAGAGAGAGAGTGAGCAGGGCTCTGGCGAATTAGCTGGCAAGCTTTGTGGTGCTAATTTGCTAATATCGTTAGCATCTCTGCAGGTTGAGACCAGAGGTCCTGCCAAAAAAGCCGACCCCGCCACGTGCCCGTGAGCACGGCGGCGCGCCCACGGATGCCCCGGGAAGCGCCCGTCTTCTCCGCGGGCGCACTGGCTTGTGCTCCCGAGCCCATTTGCAGCCAGTCAGCCCTTGAAGTCATCACCACACACACAAATCATAATTGGGATGTTTTTCTTTCTTTCTTTCTCCCCCCCCCCTTTTTTTTTTTTCCAAATTACTTTCAATACTTAGACTTTAAGAACTGGAACAAAAAGCTTTTTCAAGGGATGCAGCTGCAGAGAAAAATCTATTGGGATCAGCTAAAAATGCTGTTATTTTTGTGAATGTGTGAAACCTCAGAAAAGCAGCTGAGAGAGATTACACCAGACCGCCTTGCTCCGAGCTGTGGGCTGCTTTCGTGCAGTTTTCTCTCTGGGGTCTAGCGCTGTAGGAATTAGTAAATCTGTACATTAAGAAACACTCTTTTTAGAAGAACAGAATGGAAGAACAGGAGGCGTGCGGAAGGAGGAGCTTCTTTATGAAAGTCCACACGTCCTTGCTACTTATTCAGAGTGGGTTCCAAGGAACGACAGCCACACCATCCTGGGAAGGTGGCAAAGTCACGGACACGCGGCTCCAGTTAAGGCCTGTATCTTCAAAGGTTCTAACGGATAGTTCTGTTAGTATTTGTAATAAATTATGCCTAAATATTACTGTTGAAAGACAGAAAACAGTAATATTCTTCTTCGTGCATGAAATGTGTTAACATACACAAAACATTTTTTTAAGCCTAAAGAAGTGGGACGACATGTATTATCATAATTAATGATAATAATTAACACTGATTTAAAAATCAGACTCGGGGTGCCTGGGTGGCTTGGTCAGCTAAGCGTCCGACTCTTTTTGTTTTTAATGTATTTTTTTAATGTTTATTTGCTTTTGGGAGAGAGACAGAGAGCAAGCGGGGGAGGGGCAGAGACAGAGGGAGACACAGAATCCGAATCAGGCTCCGGGCTCTGAGCTGTCAGCACAGAGCCCGATGTGGGGCTCGAACTCACTGACCATGAGACCATGACCTGAGTCGCATGCTTAACCACTCAACTGACAGACCCGCCCAGGCGCCCTAAGCGTCTGACTCTTGATTTCGGCTCAGGTCAGGATCTCGTGGTTGGCTGGTGGGATCAAGCCCTGCCTCGGGCTCTGTGCTTAACAGCGGGGAGCCTGCTTGGGATTCCTTTTCTCTCTCTCTCTGCCCCTCCCCCGTGCACGTGCACGTGCACACACGCGCGCTCTCTCTCTCTCAAAAACAAATATTTAAAAAATAACAATCAGACTTAGATGAATTTAAGCATATCTGTTGGTTTGAAATTCCCTAAATTTCTTCATTCTCTGTTATATATTCTTAAATGGGCATTTAGGGTATGCAAATGTAAAAACTGTCAAAAGTTACATTGTGTTATTATCTTGAGAGACAAATAAGGAGAGGGTTTAGAGTAACAGTTTTATTTAGTCCTCCTGCCTTACATTGCAAATTTTATTTTAGTAAATGGATCATAAGGTCTTTCCTTATTGTGGCTTTTACTGTTCCTTTTGTTGAAATGCTTACTTTTTGACTTCTTACCAGAATTCTCAATGAATCACTGCAAAGAGCTATACGCCTCCCAGGGCGATGACACTCCAGGGGCACTGTTTTTTTCTCCTTTCCCAGAAGAGAAAGACCACCACTACTGTAAGGATGTGTTAAATCAAGGCCCTGTTCTTTCTCCCACTGACATCAGTAATCCAGTATGTAAAGTTCAGGCATAAAAAGGGGCAGTAAAGGATCCGTGACTGCAGAAGAGCCGTGTGAGCACCGTAAATACATTTCGAGCACTAGCCTCTGGCTTCACCACCGAAATTTAAGAGCTAGAATGATTTCTTAAAGTAAGTGCGGGTCAAGGTCCTGAGGCAGTCATTCCACCCTGGATTTAATATATTCAAAAGGAACATGAAGAACATATGGTGTGAGCAAAACTGAACTCAAACATTCATTCTTACTCTCTCAGCTTCCTTCACTTAGTCTCCCTATAAGGCGACAAAATCACTCCCAGAAGATGGGGAAAGGGGACCAGAAACACACACACGGCTTGTTCTTTTCATGGTAAACAATACACCATGCCCCACAAAATATTTTATTCCTTGTTTCTGAAAGCACTGAAGGGCCTACCTGCGTGTGTACGTCTGCAGATATTCAGGACCATTTTCACACGTGGCTAATATAGAAAGACCGCCGTTAACATAACACATACAGAGGATGTGAGAAAAGCTCAGGAGAAACCCTTCTCTCTGACTGGATCGGCGAGGCCTTGAGGAAATCTGCGGACACCCGTCTATGCCGATGTACCTCCACGGGGGCAGTGTATGTGAGATGCCCACCCCCAGCATTTCCATCTGCGGCCTCTCTCCATCCCAGCCAGCCCAAGGAAACACGCGAGCGGAGCAAAACCAGTAAGTATGCTTGCTACGTGGCACTGCTTCAAGGAAAGCAGCTCCTGTCTGCAGTGAGCTAGAGCGATGCTCTCAAGAAAGCCCCAGCTGCATGTGAAGTCCAGAACCACCAACGTACTTGGCATAATCCCGGGGTGCATTTTTTCCCCACTCGAAGAGATATGGTTTTCATAATTTAATATACCTTTTACATCTTTGGGGGTGGGCTGGGGAGGGAAGACAGCAATTCACCTAAAATCACTAACTTCGTGCAAGCAAGCGAACAAAAAACCCGACGATCTTTATAAACTACTTAGACAATCGACAGCCAGCAATGGTGTGAAATACCCCAAACTTCTTTAGTGAAGGACCCTAACGTCTCGAGACAGAAAACACCTATCCATCTGGTAGATTTATATTCCAGGCAGAGTTTTATAATTTTTCTTGTAAATTTCAAAACAGCAAATTATCTGGTAAACAGCCAATGCCACACAAAGCTGGCAGCAGTTTAGCGGAGAGATTGCTGAGCAAAAAAAAACCCCTAAATGGGTGGCTCGTAAGCTTTAGCACGCACATGTGAAAACCACCTGTGGAGTCTGTTAGGAATCCAGACTCCCGGACCATCCTCAGAAATTCCGGTTGGGCTGCCGTAATCTGTAGTTTTAACAAACATTCCAGGTGATAGGTGGTTCCTGACTTTGGGAACGCTGAAAGAGGCTGTCGATACCGTGCTAGTGAGCTCGCCTCTTTTTCCTTGGGAGGGCTAACGGAGCTAGTGTGCCCCATCCCGGTAGGACGGCAACAGGATATCGCATTTGGTACTGAGCAGCGCTAGGTGGGCAGGAAGATCTGGATTCTGACGGGGCTCTTGTACAATAGGAAGGCCTGATAACAGCAGTGTGTGGCTGTTCATCTGCTATCTGTAGGTTATACTGATGCAAATGTCCTACATTCTGCAGAGCGACTTCCAGGGAGGCAAACTTAGAACGACAGATGGTAGATACATTTTCTGGAATTTAGATGTCTTCTTTAAGATGATGGCTTATACAAAGACAAGTATATGACTAATGAATATTATAAAATGAGACACAAGTATCATATAACCAGTAACGCAAGTATCATATAAAAGGGTGTATTTAACAAGGCTATATGTGATTTATAATTTTGCCCATAGCATTACATAATTCTAATCTTTTAATGTGAATAGTTTTTTTTTAAAAGCTCCTTTAGAGGGAACAAATCCCCCCACTGCTTACCACCCCACCTCCCCTGCATTTTAAAATGAAGAAATAGTTGTCACATTCATACTCACACTGACTCCATTTGAATAATTACTTGCTCACTGAAGCCTGTAACAATTTGTCACTACACAGGGAGACTGTTTTTGGCCCTGTACACTGTCTACAGCACAACGGCTCGAACTCCGCAAAGAGGGTGCTGGAACGTCTGCCGCATAAGCTGTTAACAGAAGCTCAGCCAGTCCCACGCCCAGCCCTGGACACTGTGGGTGTCATCTTCACTTTCTCTGAAAAGGTCCTTTGGTAGAGGAAATGCTTTGCCGTTATCACCGGCAACTGATATGCAAGAGCCCAGACCAAGTAGAGTGATGTGATGCTGGTCATAGCCTTTTTTTGGCCCAACTCTAGGAAAGTCAAGAGTCCACCTTCCGACCAAGACCCGTCAGGAGCCACTCGGTAACGTTCTGGGTTCCCCTGTCATTCCCGTTTCCCTCCGAGATTGTAACACAGTGAGAGCGGACTGACGTGTGTCTATCAACAGATAACGCAGTAGAGGCTAAATCATCCCTATTCCTTGGATGTGCTAGATGACTACTTTCTATCAGGCTGCATTGGACTTAACCGAGCTGGGGGAAAAAAAATGTGTAGAGGAAAATTTGATAAATACTTAAATTATTAAAAATTCAATATCTCCAAATATACCATGTGATACAAAACTACTACTTAGCCCACACAAAAGTGTGTGAGGATAAACGGCCTTTTGTCGAACAGTTTTCCTCTGAATTATCTGAATAATAATAATAATAATAAATAGAAACCCTCTCTGTGAATCTCCATTAAATTGGTTATTCCTTAGGAACACATAAATCTTCTTAGGCAGGGCACCGTGCCATCTGTTTGTGGTTGGTTATTTTTGTGGCTCTGGGGTCCAAAGGAAAAGGGGAAAAAGGAGTATTGCTAATAGTAGGTGAAAATTTATTGTGTAGTTTCAATGCTCTGAAGTAATTTTATTTCAGCAAGCCAGACAAAACACATAATGTCATAACCCAAATACGCTGTTACCTGGGACAGTGCTGAGAAGGGAAGGGAAGCTTCTGGCTAACAGACTGTTCAAGAGCCTTCCCCTTTCATCTCGAATGTAAAAACATCCCCCTCGCTCGGATGAATGACCGGTATCAGGAAGGGCTGTTCTGTTTATTTAAAAACCTTCATTTTCTCCACTAGTTTCTCTTTTTTTCCCCTCTTCCACATGCTTTTAAGAGACGTAATCAGGGAATGGCCCTATTAAATTAGACCTGAGAAGCCAACCCCTCAGAAGCTTGGCCGGGATGCCAGCCCAGCCTCTAGCTGTCTGTTCGGCCGGACAAAGAAACAATAGCTCCTGGGGTGGCCTTTCAAAGATGGACAGGTCAGCAAGGTGGCAAAAGGCAGAAGAGATGAAAAAAGGTCGTAAGAGAAAGCCAAGCCTCTAACTCCACAGTGCTTTTCGAATGCATCATAAAACAGTGCGGGACACACATGACTGGCTACACAAAGCTCTGTGTTGACCAAAGGAGAGAATGCTACCCGAACAGTGGTCACCACTCTAATCGGTGCTAGAAAGGAACAGGTCAATTGCGATCCACAGTGTTTCCTCATGTAAAGAGTAGCGCTCACTGCTGGGTAGTTGGGGCTTGAGGAGGTGATTCAGGGTCTAAGCAATCCAAGGACACAGACGGTTTGCCCAGGTTTAGACATTTTCAATACTTCCACAAACTGAGAGAGTACTCTTACTGCACCAATCAGATGGGATTTGGTAAGAACGCAGTTGTTGGCATCACAAAGTGGGTTGAAACAATTAAACGTGACACAAAATTTAAAACAGCGCATTAAACAAAATTGTATACGATTCCTCAATGGAGACAATCTGCAAATAGCACTTAAGGAACAACTATTTCCACATATACATTTCAAGGTGAAAAAGTACTTCAAACCCCCTTGTTCTACCCCTGAAATATGATTTTTAAGTGTTCAGCACCGTCACTACCGAATGGAGGATCCATTCTGTCATTGGGATCTCTTAATGCTTTGAATGATACCCAAAGACAAAAAGAACATAGTGTATGCAGTGAGCAAGCAACCCCAGTGACACTTAAGAATACGTCCACACGTTGCAAAAACAGAGCGCGGAAAAAGAATTTACATAAAACATAATGTGACCCTCAACTCTTAACAGTAGTTACATAGGGTGAGCAAGTTTCCAGGCACAGAAAAGTGGACTTTCCCCCCCTTTTCACCCAATGATTCCACTGCTGTTGTCTCTGTACATTCACCGGTGCAGGCCTAAGAGGAAAAGAGGGAAAGGGTTGGGGGTGGGGGGGCAGCGCTCAGGGCACAGAGCCGCCTAGGTTACCTGTTGAGCTGTTCACCATATTGGGCGCCATGCTGTAGGGGGGTGCCTGGGTGTTCATGAGCCCAGAGCTGTTGTTGACGGGCTGGCTGTAGGGAGAGCTGGAAGCCATAAGTCCACTCTGGTTCATGCCCGGGAAACTGCCTTGCCTGTGTGAAGAGAGAGCACAGGTATACATATACTGACCGTGCACGCGGGCAACACTCTATCCCGGGGGTCATTTCTCATAATGCACATATGCAAGGGGTGGGGCTGCTGTTTTCCATGTTTGCTTAAAAAATTGATTTCCTGGACAGAGAGGCTGAACTCTTGCTAAGTAATGACTTAAAACACTGTGTAAAAATTCCAAATAATATAGATTCCACAAGTAAATTACACATTTTAAGTCATGTCAAGTGTTCCACGTTATGATTTCTATAGACGAATATAAGCAAGAAAGGGGGAACTTGAAATAAGAACAGGAATTACAAAAGCAAGCAAAATTAATTTCTAACATTTAAAAAAGATTTGACTCTTTATTGGCATTAAGTAGTCAGTATCCTCGTATCAAAAACCAGAAGTCAAGGGATGAAAATCAAATGGGCACTGTGGGAATGTTACTTAAAATTTTTTTCCTTTGACCTAAGTTTTCTGATATAAGGAATATAGGAGAAAGCATTTCTAAACGCTTCAACCTGATTATTCAAGGTTCTGAAATTAGGTACTATTAAATAAAACACACCCATTTCCCCATATTGACATCACACAGTAAACCTCAGACTCCCGCTTCTTTTTGTAGGATTTCTTGCGACAGGAAGGAAGGGAGCTTAGACTGGCTGAAAGTGTCCCTAAAAGGCTCCGGGTCACCCCTCCCTGACTGCGACGCAGACTCCCGAACCTAAAGTTTTGGTGACTTGGTTTCACTAGTTTTGTGTGTCCGCTCTATGAAAGACAAACTTCTCACTCTTGCAAGAGGCCAAGGGTATTTGTGCGTCTGAAGGAGACAACTGTGGTGCAAGGGTATTTCTCTGCTGGGCCCGGGGCCTGGGGAAGGGGAGATCTGGATGGCACGGTGGTTTAATGCTCGCAGGGAAACCACAAGGTGACAAGACAGGTGATGGCGATGTGGCAAAATCTGGGAAAGACGCCACCCACTGGTGTACCCAAGCTTCTCCTATGTAAATAGTTCACCTGGAGAAAACTTTTCCAACTTTCATTTACTGGTGTTTTCTCTCGGGAGTAAAACTAGTAAGAGGCATAAAAATCCACACTTGCTCATCTACTCCAAGTGAGTTATGATTTTAAGCCCCTCCACCTCCATTAAGTCATCATTTGATGGCTTTTTGTGTGTAATGGTAAAATATGTTTAAAGAGATCCTTTCAAAGCTTAACCTAAGTCATTTTCACAAAAACACAATATACAATCTTTTTGTGTAGCAGTCTTCAGTGGATTCAACTTTCCGGCTTGTAGAAAAAGTTCAAACATGGTCCACTTGAAAATTCAAAGTATCAAAGGTTTGAGTGCTTTTCTTCCTTTTAAATATCACACAAACTATTCCAAACTGGCACTCGATGATAGCTTGGAAAGAACATTCTAGCGGGCTGAGAGACTAACGGTGTGAGTGTGGCTCTGGGAGAAAGGAATGTTACTTCAGCCTTGAATTCTGAGCTCACTCAAGTGCCACTTCGAATACTACAGACTGCTGAATCAGGATGATAATACCCACTGCAGTTCATTAAGAATGTTTCTGAGATCATCCAATGGCTTCTGATTAACCTCCAGGTCGTCAAATACTCATAAATACATTGCCCGGCAGCCATAAACATATTCCTGTACGGTTCGGGTCTTAACATCAGCGTGGAGACTGCCGGCATTAACTCAGACGGCTGAGGTTCCCTTCTGGGGTGTTTTCATTCAAACAAAACACAGTTTCACGTTCATGTCCCTGTGGCACCTGCTGGGACTGCTCTCCCAATTTGTTAGCAGGTTAGTCACCTGAAGAGCATCCTTAACTCAGGAACAGGTTGGGTTTTCTGAAGACAGCTTTCAAGTCTCAGCCAATGGTGACCCGCCGTCGTCCATCAAGATCGCTTCAGGGGCCGTCTCCTTTGTGAAGGCTGCACTGTCTCCCCCACCTGGGAGCTCTGCCTTCCTCAGACTCTGCCTCTGACAACCCTCTGCACTTTCTTTTGTGTATGGCAACAATTTATGTGCATGCCTGGGCTCTTCTAGGCAATTCTGAGAGGAGCAAAGGAGCAACAGACAGCTACTGCAGAAAGTACTTGTTAAATAAACCAAGAGAGAACATTTTTACCATTGTAAACAGGCTTTTTCCAAATTCAGTTTCACATGTGGTGTGACTAACATGTGCATGAAACACATGGTCCTTTAAGCACACCTGCTTATAACTCAGGTGCAAAAGAGAATCCGAATATGAAACCCACCAGGCAGGTGGTTAAATGAAGTAATGACCTCAGAGGCTCCTTGTAACCCTAATCTAGGATTTCTCCCAAGTCTGCACGGCCCATCTGCAGCCACCATAAGATGATGAAGGTGTGCAGGAGAAGTTAAACAAACAAACCCTTAAAGTAACAAAACAAATTAAGGATTTTGAGGTCGGTGTGTTGGATGTCAGCTGCTGTGTATAATGGTCCTCAATGAAATCATGCCTGCAGTTTGAAAAGTCTGGTCAAAATGCCACAGGTCTTGACTCTGCCACCAGTCACACCTTCCACTGTCACTGGGATCTGGGAGCAAAACTCCTTCAGTCTCTGGGCCTCAGTGTTTGCATGTGGCCATGGAGGGACCAATAACAATGATAATGTTCATACTTTACTAGGTAATTATAAATGTGCCGGGCACAATTTCTAGGCATTTTATACATTTAACTTTTTAAATTACCTGGAGGAAGGTAGGTGGAATTATGCTCACATACAAAGGAAGAAAATAGGGATCAGAGAGATTAAATCACCTGCTTAAGGACACACAGCTAGGAAGTGTCAGAAACAGAATTTCTCAGGCCTGCTTTCAGATCAGTGTCCTGTATTTCTTTCTCCAAGTGCAAAGTACACAGGCATACAGAGCCCACTGTATACCTTCCTGTCTACTGTATTCATCTGTGGTTACAGAAAGCTGACAAATAAAAATGGTGCTTTTCTCCGGGTTTCCGGGACACCTGCTTCTTGGAACGAGTTTATCCAGAGTGCTGCACGCCTCTTAGGGATCCAAGTAGGGAAGTGGCCGACAAAGATGCAAGTCTTCCCAGCAATGCAGGGCATGCACGGCCATGAGCGCGGCATCTGGCCACCTGGCTAAATGGGGGAGAAAGCCGGTCTTTCATCATCATAGAAGAAATCCAATTCATCACTGCTTTGGAAACTACTGCCAGGATTATTGGTAATTTTCAACGAGCAAGATGAGCTTAATACTAAAAAGAGCTTTCTGCTGACTTTTTGGAAATTGAGACAATTTTGTTTTGTGGAAGAAAACATAACATGGCCGCCTGACTAAGCCGAGCACTCCAACTTATCACGGTGTTGCTAGTATGAGAGGATTTCTGGGGGCTCGCGACAAAAAGCTTATTTGGTTGGGCTGACTACCGTCACTCGGACCACAAAGACCTCCAAAGAAGTTGGGCCCTTTCCAGAGGCGGCACTCACCGGCTTCTAAATCCCTTTCTGACCACGGCACCGTTTGCAATGCTCCAAATGGAACGAGGAGAGCCAAGAAGTAAATCACCAGACATTCTCTTTTTCAAAACGAACCAAGAACAACAAAACAAAAACAGGCGAAACTACAAACTGAAACGAAGGAAACATTTTCCACGTAAAAGTCTACCAAGATGTAAGCTGGGCCCGGAAGAGCAAAGTGCCCTTCCTTGACCTGTGGGTGTGTGAATTCCTGGGCTGTCTATTACGGGGCGACAGGCTCGGGTGGTTTTCCTCCCAAATTACCGCGGTCCCCTGATGCGGCCCGTTCCTAACCTGTGATGGTTGTGGCAATAAATGCCCAATAAGGCCCGGGGGGTTGGGGAGACTGGACTAACATTTGAAAGTAATGTTTAGTTGCTGTTGTGCTGCTAACGTGGTTACTGGGCGTAGCACCTGGGCCGCACTGAGTGGGAGGCGGTGCGTCCAGATCAGGGCTGACCAAAGGGGCCACCGCTTACCCAGGCCTGGTCTTCTGTGACAAGGCCCTGTTCCCTTATGCCTTTGCAAAGTCAAAGTCTGAGGTGGGGCGCTGTTATTTAAACACGGGGACCCACACAATCACCGGAGGAACATTATTTAGATCGATGGGTCTCTGGTTGGGCCTGGATGAAAGTGTTTGAGATCTGTCATCCTATGACAAAGGCCGGGTTATCATAATGAGGATAGTTCAAAACTGGAGCCTACGGAGGTATTTCCCGAAAGCACTCCTCACTCCTGCTTCTCAGTCTTCACACGGACACAAGTAATATATATATATATTATATATTATATATTTATCATAGATTTTCCTTTTATTCACTTTGGAAATTTCTCAAACATTACACATTCATCTGCCAACAAAGAGCTGGCTCTAGGGAAGAAAAAAAACAAACCCAGAAGCAAACACCAACTTTAAAGTGACCGTTTCCAATGGTTCACTGAGAAGATAGAAAGCAGTTAAACATACCAGTATGAAATCCTATAAAGAGTAACCACATACTCCTAACCTAACAAGTGACCTTGTTTTAAAGTCAACTACAATACAATTTAAAATAAGATCTGTATATGGTTTCGGTGCTTTAAAAGAATATTTAGGCCATACTGTCTTAGCAATCACCACTATTTTTTCTCAACAGCGGCAGATGGGGAAGTGTGAAATGTGTATCTTGAAAATGAATGGATTCCCGATACAGCTCTTTGGAGAAGGGTCGGGACAGACAGAAGGAATAGTCTGGAAACAGGCACCACACGAGCGAAACCATGTCATTTCAGTCCCAGGGGCAAGCCACCTGGAGAGAAGCTCCACGCAAGGGTTCTAACTGAGCCACTGAAAATATCACTCCTGAGTTATGTTCAAAATTGGGAAGTATATGACTGCCACATACACACGCCCTCCTCTGTATGGACTGTCAGTGTGGGTGTAGTTTATGTAGCCAGAAAGATTGCTTACTGACAAAATTAATTAGGCTAACAGTGAAAT